GCTTATCATTTCTATATTCTGCAAATTGTGAACAATATGTGATCACCATATATTGCATGATAGTCTCCAAATGATACCGCTTGGAGGATGATCCCCAAACCTGATACTACTAGAGTTTATGGTTAGGACCCCAGTAATTGAGACAGGCATACTACAGTTTCTTCCACGGTTTTAAAACTCGTCTTACTCTACATTTCATTCACTGTTTCGCCTATTTTAGTTTATTTGGTCACTTGTACCCACTTTCGCTTTCACGTGAAGAAGAGTAACTGAGATGAATTGGCGACTGAACAAAGTAGATGATGGAGATACTTTGCTAAATCGGAACTGACCTGTCGGGTAGCTGTCCCAATCTTGTTCTCAAAAGCAGTCCAGTATCAGAAGGAAGAACATCCGTCTGGTAGCCGTGTACTCTGATGAAATGTACAGCCGACGTCCGATGCTAGTTGAACATACCCTAATATTGCGTCATCTTTCTATTATTCAAAGCTGGCATTACCGAACTTATCAGCTTTCACTCTTAGTAGTTTAGTATAATTAGTAGTTTGTGATGGGACGTATTCGGACAGAATTGGCCTGCGACAAACTTTCGTAAGATAATCAACTTTAAGGGCATTTGGCAGAAAAATTCTCCACTCTTTTTTGCCTGCATCCCTCAAGGTTACGCGAACTGATAGACGTATGATTCATGGAAGTACCTTCAGAAGGAAACAAGCAATACTTATCAGCGACATTGTTCCTCTTAATTGGGCAGTGATTAACCAAATAAGGTTAGATCAGCGGGGACTTGCAAATTCTTTCTGATTGAACTGAACGGTCTTCGTTCCACCTACGAATGGTCACAGACACATACCTCGACCTACAGCTGAGCTTTCATACAGCTTTCACACTTGTCATTTCCTTGTTGCTTATTACGGAAAACAAACTGACCACCGTTAGGTTCATCCTCTATGACAAACCTCATCAGATCATTTGTTTTTCGCGGTAGTTAAGTTACAAAGAATGAGAATTTGAGGCAACCGGTAGAGTGAAAGTTGAATTTTGAACATCCAGACCCGCCGTAGCCAGACACTGGTCAGCTAACGCTGCAGGCGGAGTTAGTATTCATCAAATTCTGGAGAAAGGTGGTCCTACTTTGCTATTAGTAATGCCACAAATACCGATCCACTTCGTTGGCCTTCTCACTTGTCCGTCTGGCGCTGAATTCCACTTAATTACGGGAGTAGGTGGTCCCTTTGAGTGTACCTTATTCGAAGGGACCTAGATAGCGGACCACCCCATTCGTGAACATACGCAACACAGCGCAAATATCGTAGTTACGACAAAGCAATATCCGGATAAAAGTTCATACGGATATGATCCACGAAGTAGATATTCGCCGTGTCCATAGCCAATAGAACTTCCACTGTGACTGCTTCCAAGTTAGCAAACGAATCACCACGTATGGTATCTCAGAACAACTGCACTGCTGTGAGAAACTAATCAACATAGGGCAAACTTGAGCAATGATTTCAATTCTGCTTATTCGAGGATATCCCTCGCGAAATAGTTCTACTTCTTGATACTTTAAAATACTGGACAACCATCTAGCTTTTTGACGAAAAAGCTGTTGTTGGGCATCTATCTTGTTGATATCTAATAACACCCAACACCAGAGTATCATGCACATTTCCTCTGGTAATTGCTTGGGCATAGATAGGAGGCAGATTTTGCTAGCAGTTCCAACTGGTGCGATTACTATGTCCAGATGGGACAGTGTATCGACTCAGGAAAAGAAGACGTCGCTTTGTAAGTCATACCGAAATTATAGCCTAGAGGCATATCAGCCCAGCTTTGGGGACAATTGACAACATAAACCGGGTTAGCTTATGGGAATCGAAGACAGTCGTCAAGGCCCTGTGGTCTGGTTAAAAGATAAAATGTCGATCACGCGGCTCTGTCCCGAAGGTCTTTATGGCAGAAAACACAGTTACCGCTCCTTTTATAGCACACTCGTAATTATTTTGTTATTGACAGTGGGCGAGATGAATGGCAAACAACTTCTTCAACCGCTTTGAAAATGATGCATTATGATTGCACTAACTCCACATTCTGAAGCGTCAAAGGACATGAAAATCTCATTTTTAAAGCTGTCTTGGGTTAACTACAAATGTCCATTAAGCAGATTTTAGTTGATTCGAAGACTAGACTGTAAGTACTACATTTCAATGAATAAGTTTGCATCTGTCAGTGTCTACACCGGAAAGTAAGATAAAAATTCCGGTAACGAACTGAATCAGTGTAGCATCATCGGGTTGTCGCGCAAATGTCGCGAAAATGCAAATCTCGAAAGCGCCCAATATTTTCGCTCACTAATGTGTTCATAAAATTGGGCTTGGCCATAAAGGAAACTACGCACAAGGTTACTGAGAACCCTTCAAAAGGCCACAGAGAATAGCATAAACGAGAGATTCATCTGGGTTTCAGGTGGGCCTCCAGTAAAACAGATGAGTGTATTTGTCGAAATCTGTTCATTTCCAGGTTCAACTAGAACCCAGTTACTGCACCTGACCGATGAGCCCCAAGAAGGGCGAAACCGGTCGTGGGCTATCGAAGAGTTTCAGTACCCTTGTGAATAGTTTGCTAACTTGTTTTGCATAGCACTGAATTAGCGAACAATTCTGTCGATTCGGTAAGTATGTGCGAGAGTTTCGAGCATTGCGTCGCTTCATTCATCTCACCTAAATACCTTCTGGTAAAATTCTTAACAGAAATCAGAATATTATTTGCCAGTATTTACTAATGAAAGTGTCTATCTCGAAATTGGTTTCCATGTGCCTTTTGTATCGAATTTCATCTTCGTCTTGCAAATCTGGTTCGAATTAGCCACCAAAATAGATATATTTTCATTCGCTTTGAAGTATGCCGCAACCACATGTTTCCAGCACTCGGAAGTGGAGACTGATTTCTCTTCATGGTTTTCGCAATTTGCTCCAGTCAACGAGCACACAGTCACACACAGAGTGAGGCTACACTAATGGCATTATTATCCAGACGCAATTTTTAGTTAAAAGGGTAATGTAGTTATACACAACAAGCCTTTCACTGCAGGCTAAGATGTACTGCATGTTGGGTGGATGTCAGGAGAGTCTGATTAGGCCGAATGATGTCCCGCTAATCATCCCAACAATGGAAATGTTTGTCCGACAAAACACGTCGAATGTTCACAACTCTTTACTGCGAGTCTTACATAAGTTCAGCTGAAACCAGTCTGTAAATTGTTTTCGCTGGACATAAACCTGATGGATTTATTCAGCGTCAATAGCCTTCCAGTGCGCTATGGTAGCTGACTGAAGAAATATGCGGGATTCGGACACAGTTTGCACATTCAACTTGATTGCGCTATGATGGCTGAACGACCCCCACGATAAGCATGGGCATCCGCACAGAACGTGATAGAAACTCTTTAGGAATTGAACTGACTCATGTGGTAACATGCAGCACTCAAAGACAGTCGACGGGCTGCTCAACACTCCCTCCCTTTAGACAAATGAATACTGAGAACCAGATGAGGAAACACATTCGTGTTCAAGAAGCTTAGTCCCATCTCGTTTTGAACAAAGCAGTGAGTACAACATGGTTCCAAGATGAATATAGTTCGTACACTCTCTTCCGCTGTAAAACATGTCAAATGGCATAAGACACATAATAGAGTATGGGATACGACATTTACGAAATTCTGAAACAACGTAACCGACAATAAAATTTAGGAGTCTCAGAGCCATTCTTAGGTCATTCTGAGCGTGACGGACAGGCTTGGAACGATTAATCAAAGTCATACCAAGGAACTTCAACCTATGTGGCCGCCAGCTGGTCGCTAAGACGCGGAACGGTGAGCTGAATTCAACTCCGCGGCTTGTGGGTGAATTAGAAGCCTATTGATAGACGATTTGACCCTGGATTCGATCAGCTTTGGGTTAACGTTAGTTGATATAGTGCGGAGTATTTTGGGCACGTGCTCCTTTGCTCGTGTTTCCTGACTCCGGTCAGTTCTAATGAAACTGCAGGCGAGCTGATAAATACAAGGAGTTGTGGATCCAAACTCAAGTCCAGCTACGCGACCTACGCCACTGCTGCCGATCAAAATAACGACCTCCGTGTTTCGGGGTCTAGTGAATTAGTAAGCTAAAAAATTAATTAAACTTTAAAATTAAAATGAATTAAGTGAACTTCTCCGGTCGTCATCCCGGTCATCCTGGAAGCTGGTGTGGTCATACGGATATTTTATTACTGGATTGAGATTTAGCGAGACGGCTTTAAGAATAACAAAATAGAGTACATATCTTATCCACGATGTCAACGCTAACCATGCTATTGGACGGAGGTCCAGCATGTGTTTTCACTGTCCCTTCTTTTCGGGCACGGATACTCGCTTTCTATTTATACGAGCGTACACTTGCTGTAAGACTAGCCTGATATCGATCCAGCAGCTGAGTGGTTCTGATTGGCTTAACAGTGCATGCGTCATCCTTTCATCCTGTGCGCGCATGCTTTCATGTTTTACTTATCCTATGACATTGGCCTAGTGAACTTTCCTAATGCGCAACCAGTGCTTGCGTACTACTCAGCCGCTGTTAAATGAAGCTCCCACTGGCTTCCCCACCCTCATGCGAGTGTCCTGTGTGTACCAGACTTGAATCGTACTTCAGCAGTTTGCTTACAATGGTGAGATACAATAACTGAGTCGTGCGCGATTGGCTTCTTTCATATTAAAGACATTATTTCTACTCCTGGTTCTACTCTTGAACCTATAATTCCTTCAATAAAATTTGAAATGTTATGGTGATGTTCGCTTCATCGCTATTGGCAAGCTATTTTCCGTAAGGCGTGTTACCAACTTTACCCAACTTGCATTTTCAGTAGTGATTCGAGAAAGAAGAAAACTGAGCACGTCATTCAGCCTCATGTGCTTTCAGGGGTTAGGGATACAAGACCAGAGAACTTACTCAGGCCTTGGTTACCCGTGATATCCAGTGGTGAACGTCTTTGGGGCGAGGAACCTTCGCGAACCACGCACACATAAGGTACATTGTGTGAAGGGACAGGATTGTCGTGGACGTGAATTGACATTTGTGCAATGCCATCCATTCGATGAGGAGGGCCAACAGGTCCGTCAGTGTGTAACGAACCTACTTCGGATGGCGGTGCTCCTCTCACGCTACCCGAACTGGCAACGGTGACATTGTCTGGCACTGCACCATCTTCGACTGCTGGCGCATGTTTCACAGTGCCAATTACCAGAGAAGGCAGTGTAGCACTTCCAGATGACGGTAGATTCGTTGGGACCGGTGGTAGAATCAGCCGACATGGTAGCGCCAGCGGATCAATAGTGTGCTGGTGAATCAAAGCCGCCAGACTTGGGAACACTGGTTCGCTGGCGAATCCTTTAAGTCGTACGCCTCGTGTAGGTGTATTGACTACCTCAATCAAATAGTGTCTTACCAGTTCCGATTGGAGGTCGTCTGTAATTTATAAGAAAATTGCAGCGGGTAGTGAAGACAGAAAAGCAGTTATCTTCGAAATAGCAACCTTAGTTTTGGTTCTCTTGATTTTAACCAGATTTCGTTTAGAGCACCAACCTAACATGCTATCAGGATATACTCTATCACGCGACGCCATCACTACTGTAACCGAATGACTATGCCCATCAGTCGCGGAAGATTGGTTCATGTATCCTCTGAGAGTCGACTCAGAGATTTGACACGATCGAAGGCTGAGGACAATGAAGGGGGAATGTGAAACCCAATTCAAAATGAACAAACACAAGGAAGCTGCTCAACCACCAGATGAGAATGCACTAGTTTCGGTGGGTGTTAGCAACACGTCACCGCTGTTAGAAAGTCGGTCAATTGAAGGATCAATAACTAATCTGTGTGACGTGTTTCGCACCTTTTCTCCGTAGACCCCTGAATGAAGTCACGTGATCACTAGACGATTCGAATGATCTATTCACTGTTGTGACCTAGGTGACCATTGGTGTCTTATTCAGCTCATTGCACGAAAATACAGCAGAGCTGTTTCTAATTTTATGCTTCACTGATCTTACGGTAGTTCGTATTAACCAAAACCACTTTGGTCGATAAACTTAACAAATTTAGAGAATACGAAGGGAACTGGACAGTGATCAACCGCAAGGAATTCAAACCGGGTAAAATAACAGTATACCGATGGGGTTAGAAACAAGTTCTACCAGGTAGTAGACGCGTCAAAAGATGATATAGTGGGCCGAATTAACCGAGGGATAAACGACTATCTACGTGAAGTCATATGATAAGAAGTGTGTCGGATAAAGTACACTCTCAGAAAAATGCTTTTGGAAGCCGAAAATCATGACCCTGAAAACAAACTGTGAAATCATCAAAACGGTTATTCACGACTTCAGCATGTAGAACACAACACGCCCTAGTGTCTAGAGGTTTTAACTTCCTGTTAACAGTGTGAAGAAATTCAGGAGTTTTCCAGTCGGTATTTCGACCTGTAAGTGAAGCTGTTCTATGCCAAAATGCCTGGGGGCAACGCATGGCTGTTTCGAGCCTGTTTAGAATGTCAGCAGCGCAAATCGCACAAATCTCCGGGACGATATGAAACTGCAACAAACTGGCAAGTAGTTCAGACCTGAAATAATGTGTCTCCGTGTTTGGCAGAGCTGTTGGGCTGACTTACTTGATTCTTAAAACAGCAGGAGGGCAATTTTCGTAACTGATCTGACTGGGTCGGTCCGATAGTTCTCTAATGTCTTCTCCTCTCTAACCTAGTTCCATGTAGCCGATGTTACCACACTCTCACTTTAAGTGTATCAGATTAACAGCATCGAACAATGATGAGAACCCAGGGCCATCATGAATGCGAAGTCTTGGATCATCCAGTTTGTCTACACATAACATTAAAGAACCACAGTATACAGAGACGCATATGGACGATATATCCGACAGTAAAGTGATGGCTGATGACTGAATGATGTGTGCATGACAACTAAAATCGGTATCTGAAGAAAAAACAGGATGACGTGTTAACCTATCACAATAATGAAGACATCCCCGTATCATTTTTGACTCCCTCCGTCCAACATTCATTTATCGCCTGTCTGGAATTTCAGTGCCTCGTTCTCTCGAAATGCTGGGTTAGTGTTTAGAAAATGAAGTTAAGGTCACACCAAATGCAGACTCAACACACCCTACTGAGAGTGGATCACACTGGTGGTCCGGTGTACTTACGCGTCTACCCCAAGAGGTGGAAATAGGGTTGATTGAGCGGGTCATCTCAACAATGATTTTTCGCCCCAATCTCAGCCACCATCTTATCAGTGCAACTCGCCTTCCAGGATGGGGTCCAAGTAATCCCTACCGTGCCTAGTTGGAGATGTTGCAAGATATGACTGCTAATCCATGTCAATGGCCTTCTTGTTTTTAACTTCTACCCAGATGTCTGCATGAGTAGCTGCGTGTTTAGGCACATCAGAATGATTGTAGTAGACCGGCATTAAGTCTATTTCCCATCTGATTTTATTCTTTTCATCAAAATAAGGCCTTCAATTAAACTGTTAGGCAGCGAAGCATCAGTGTTGTATTGTCGATATGCTGTCTGGGTCACTTGCCGTGCTTATCGATCAGATCACAGCTTGCACCACCGGTAATTCGTGAAGAATTTTGGCTTAGTGATTCATCATTCTCACCTCTGTGAGAAAATGAGTCAGTGCCTCCACTTCAGGCCACCACTTCAGCGATCAATCAAACCGGTGATTAATAAGTTTGTTAGTGAAGGTAGGGTTTGCCTTGTCTGACAATCTGCAGTAACACCATACCTGAGCGATAGCACATTCCAGAGGACTCGTCCGACTTTACTGGGCCGAGTGATCATAAAAGTTCCTAGCGAAAAATAGTCACAGGGTTTACACAACTGGGAAACTGGAAAATGCACCGCTACCCTGAACAAACTAATGGCAAGCGCAAATGAGTTGGAGGGGCGAAGTGACCATTCAGCAGAACCGTATATATTATTCAACGATAACACCGACTGTGGTGTTGCAACAGAGTGACACTGATTCAGCCAGCTCACCGATTTATCAAGTCATTGGACTCAGTTGTCATTAGGTTGCCGTTTCAAGTACACTCGGTTAACCATGTCTGTAACCTGTACCCTTTCAAAACGCGAGAGGTGCTAGTCTTACATGGTCATCATTGGTCAGCAGATAAAGAACTGCAAACACGTTTCTCGTATAAACCATAGACTTTGTAATAATGCAACAAGACTAGGCTTTCTGCACGGTACTTCCGTAAAGCAATGGGGAGCGATCGATGCATCAGTCTTTTCCGCATAGCCGGCTCATCAGATTGGATGAATCATCCGTGCGCCTCCAGCTTCTTTCGAATTAATGGCTGATGACTGACTAAGATATCAAACATTCTATGCAAATGACCAGTAAACCTGTCGTACTGTTTTCTGACAGAAAAGGTTTTCTATGCAGTGACCCAGAAACCCTCCGTACTGTTTTCTGACAGAAAAGGTTTCCCACACAGTTCATCTGGGACAGTTTTGACACTGGGTCTGGATGCTGTTACACAGTGCTGTGCTGGGCGATGACGACTTCTTCGTGAACTCTCTTTATTTTCAAAACGCACCCAAAGCGACAAGCTTATTAAAACAGTACGCAGACACCCCTAAATCTCAGTGTAGAATTTCAACCTTTAGTAGGTCAGTCGAGCCGCACTTTAACTGATGGATTCAATCTTCATCGATCCACTTGTTTTAACTGTGCCAAATTCTTTTCTGAAGCGTTACTAATCCACCGGAATAAGAGTATCAAAGGATTTCCAGTCTGTTTACCAGTAGTGGAGACGTATGATTCTCCGTCACCAATGTACCGCACATTTTGTATCGCGCATTGACGAAGGTTACGGAGCATAAATACAGCTCTCGATGGTATGGGTTGGGCATGCACTTTTGTATGTTTCACTTCTCAGCATGCACTCACTCCGGAGAAACAAACTGAGATTCACCTTCGACTGACTGAGGAAAAATCAATGGGTTGGTCGGGCAGGACAAACATGTCATGCATCCAATCACAAGGTGCGTGTTTCCTGAAGGTGTAGACGTGTAGTGCACCGGGTGTACCCATGATAAATGTATATGAGGCTACGACTGGGTGTTAGCTGGATGAATGAAGACACATAACGACGCATAAAGACACACATACAAACACAGCAACAACCACCCAATATGGATGTACTTAAACTATGTGAAGGTCGATCTGATAGCGAATTGGGTAATAACGAAAATAAGCAGCGAGGAATAGTATACCAACAACAGGCGAGGTTGGCCCAAATGGACGAACAGTGTAAGGTGCGCGTGCATATGGCGGGAGCTACAAATTGAGTGGCGCGCGACACAAAGGCTTACTGAGTAGACTTCGGACAAATTTGGTAAAACCTACAGAGAGTGAAAAAGCAGAGTTTTAAATAGCACGGTAGGGATGGAGGTTGTACACTACATGGGATCAAACGACCAAGAAAAGGGGGTACTCAGCAACTAGGACTTGCGACTCGGGGTGAACAAAAGTGTTGAACCTAGTCCAGTTCACTCTCGCTTCGTCCACCTTACCAACAACATTACTAGTGAGCTGTCATCCCTTCTGTTGAGCCTTCTGAAGCCAGTTCAATTTAATAACCGAGTCATCCGACTGTCATGAAAGATACCCAAGTGATACTTTCATGAAGTAAAAGGTACAGTAGATTTGAAAACCTCGGTGATTTCTGCAGTCAAAATCGGCACACCTTGACAACACCTTTGGGCCTAGGAAAATTATAATTCCGGCATGACCTAGAAAGACGAAAACTAGGCCAAGTGACGCTAGGCCCATCCATCAAGTGAAATAATTTGAAACAATAAGACCAGTAAAAATCATCAGTACTTTCCTTCTGAATGGAAGCAGAGTTTTATTGAACTGTGTTCAAACGAAGGAAGAAAGTAAATGGAAAGAAAGCCGGAATTAGTTGTTTTCCACCAGCAACTGGCAACTTATTACCCAAGAGCTAACCTATTTAGTTTATTTCCAATATGTGCCCTTTCTCACTGAGATTTCTGTAGCTGGTAACGCACTAAGCGGGTCAATCGATCGACAGTTAATGGGTGGTCGTTCGAGCCGTCGGGCAAATTACTTAAATCGCTCAAGTGTGAGTACACTACCCTGTTCAGATGTGATAATTCAGATGAGTCCAGCATGCTCCGGTAAGTAGTGGTAAGACTATCGTGTCGCATGTCAGCTGTCAGGAGTTCGAACGCCGACACACACAGGGAGATGCACTGTTGACGAGCTCTAGAAAAAGCAAAACTTGGGTCCAGTTCTTCCCCGCTTTCCTGTGGACTCACCAAAACAAGTGTACCAGGGCAGGAATATTCATACAAGAGTGATATAAACGTGAATTTTGCGGATCCGCAACCACTCACAATCACTAATAACTGTTGGTCGTAAATCACAATATAATCTCCCCGTGTGACAGAAGAATCACTCACCTTACCTGTCGATCAGACTGGTCACGTAAAATTTTCACTTTTGAACTGAAAAGCTGTCGTTACTTTACCAAGCCAGTCAAGTGGATGCAACAGACCTCCCCACGCTTCATGCTACAACTCAAACTATTGCGAGTGTGTTCGCAGTACTACCATGACTGCACTTTTCAACAACGTGCAAAAGTATTCTTTTGTACAGTGCCATCGCATGGGATGATAGGATGCAGCAGACTCGTATCTTGTGCAGGTTGTCATATCACAAAACCCGTGGATATTGCCCGGTTTCATCTAATTTCACATGACTTTGACAGTCAATGAAGGTTAAGGCGATAGATTATCGATCGGTGAGTTTCTCCAGCCCTCATATTCTGAGGGCAATGCAACAGCGAATGGCAAAATTATATCTCATACAATAACTTGCACAACCGAGCGGTCGGTTGAAACATGTAGTCGGTCGACAACTTCATGCTAGAAGCGGGTTTTCTCAGAAGAGCTCAAGTATTGCATCTTCATTGGTTGAACGGTTTGCGTCCAAACTTTATACAGAATAATGAGGATGACTCTGCGGATATCTTTATCAGCCCACATGCTAATGAATGGAACCTTTCTGAGTACCACTTGTACATTTCTGAAGGCTTTAACCCCAGCCTCTGATACGACCGTGTTTCACTGATCACCCTTCTCTATTACGTGATAACCCAGCTGTTAACTAAGAGCCGACGCGGGTACTTTAAACGATTAGGCGGACGGAAATCAGTTCCAATTTCTATAAGGCAACCAGAGTGGTTTATTTTTATCCACATGTCTAGTCGGACCAGCCGGCTAATTACTCCATCTGTCCGGCTCGACATTTAAGTTGGTCAGTACTGCCTCGAATCTCCCGACAATCACAACAAACAAGGCGCCGCATCATCTCTAATCATTTGCTGTCCAAGATTTTGCTGTCTACGTTTATTCGGCTAACTTCAAAACTTCCATGAAACATGATATATTTTTCCCGCTTTTCGGTTAGCAGCTGAATCACTCCTTTTGGTTGATTTTAACTATGACCTCACTGTTATTGGTTAGCTTGCCTAAACCATTCAGTCAGTGCTCTTCCTCTCTGATCATGGATGGACCGAAGCGGAAAATAATGGCCTAGAAATACATGGGACGATTGATCATTCATTCAAAAAGTGACTGATTCCCACTTGTCATCAGTTCCTTAAACTTCGGTCTGTGGTAGAGTGTTGTAACTTCGTCCAAAAGTCCCATAAATCCGATTAAATTCAACGCACACAGTGATAACTAACTAGTGCATCAAAGGAATTTTTGTACGAATAACATGAATCGAACTCTGCACTTCCGGTGAAGTAACTTTCCACCAAGTGAAGGGATTTCTGGTACTGGAGGTGCCTTTTGTGACCATGTCATCCAAGGGTGAAAATCAATTTCCTCTTTTTGGGACTCATCAGCAATTGAACTAACGCTGCTCGATGAGGTTAAAAGTCGCACATGTGACGCTTCACAACTAAAGCAGCTTGGGCTTCTTGACGGAACCCACTTTTCGTAAGGTTAATGAAGCCCTTCGACAGCCCAACACTAGTTTCACCATTCTTGGACTCAGCAACTAAGCACAGTCCCCGAGTTTCCGTCAACCTTATGTTCTTCTTGGACTCACACAGTACACATTGCGCGAAATTTATTTGTGTGCAAACTCATTTGGTTTTTTAAGAGGGACTCAAATGAATCCCAGTTGAATCAGTTCAGCTCACGTATAAACCGAATGTGTTTGCTGAGGATACTTTGCGAAGTGCAAGTGCACTTGTGCACCAGAAAAATTCTTCAGGTTATGTCAATCAACCTCTGGGACGTCGCAACACAACACTGTCTGGTAGTGGCGTGGAATTTGAGTACCCGGGTTGGTGAAAGTCCAGTCCTTCGTAATTTTTCTAGGGCGGTAGCCGGATAGAATCTGGAGCAGATTTAGGTCAATTTATTTCGGCATGCTTAACGTAATGAATGTTGTTGGTCGGTTTTCAGGACTGGTCACCTGCGGAGACCGTCAGGTAACTAGATATTCAGACTTCTTTTCTGACTGGGTATCTATCACCAAAAGGGCACACATACTAGACATACACCTAGGTTCTCAACCACCGGATATTGAAGCCGCTGCCCGACTAGAACTGCCTAGTTGAAATCCGGCTCCTATCTTGTCGGCATACAATATACGCCCATAAATCACGCCACATGCCAGGGCATTTCAAACATGAATAACTGTGCAACCTCTAATTTTGTTGCTGTGTTGCACTTTTCAGTCTGAAATGATGATACAAGGTGAACTGTCAACATTATCCAGAGTGGCAGTCGTACTTTCTGATCACCCAGGCAAATATACGGACTGAGCCCAATTAAACTGAGGCAATGCATTGCTGCATTGGGCCAATAGGATTGGGCCGATAGTCCATCACCATCATCTCAGAGAAGAATGGAAAAACAGCGACGCGATCGATAAACCATGCCAGTCAAAATTGCTTAATGTGTGTGTGGGTCAGCTGGACTGTCAAGGATGATCGATACATACAGGCCTTTCTGTCGAGCCAACAGTGGCCTGATTATTCAATGACTGACATTCTCCCTAACTGAAGAAATTCCAGACGCCTAACACCGCTGATGGTCCAACAAAGATCGATACAACCAAATTCCAACAAGCTACGGTAGATAGCATGTTTACCACTGGCAGAATTACAATTCAAAACGTGTGAATTCGGCTCCTATGTATGCACTATCGAAACAGGCATAAAAGACAGTCTATTTCAAGTGAGGCCGGGTTTTGTGGGGCCGAGAAGAGGTGACAAATGATTTATCGGGCAAGTAAAACGCGAGTATGTCTGACGAACGTTGAAATGTAAGACCTACAGACGCGCAATGTTGAAGAAGAATGAAGATTTGGAGAAAGTATGAAACATGTTAAACTCTGCAATTTGAACTTATGTTGCCCACAGTGGCCGCCATGCAGCTCTTGTAGATAACTGAATGGATTTAGCCAGTCTGATATGAAGTGCCATTGGTTGCAAAGCCTGAATTGGAATAGCTTTTAAGTCGATCACCTAGGAGCCGAAAATGGTTAATTCACGTGTTTCTAACAGCGAACATTCAACTGGACAGAGGACTTAATGCCACTGGACGGTGAAAAACTACATGAGTCATCTTGATTTTTAAATGATAAGGTCTATTCATGCTACCACAGGTGACTGATTTGAACTTCTTAAGTTTGGAGCCTACGCCATGGGGAACACCTTAGGATCCAAAAGCAGTTCGCTGGTTTCACAGGCGTTAGGCGTGCCATGTTCCATTCGCACCTGAATACATTCGGCGACACTTCGGAAGAAGCCGCAGCTGAGGTGGCACAGCCTTGGTGGATGAAACGAGATTACCTGCACTACGGTTGCCATGCCCTCACCGAACCACAGCATTCAGGCCAGCCATCTGTTCACAGACTGCACACGCAGTCGAAGTACTGCCTAACTCGGTGCTCTCTGACCTTGCAATCTGACCTTGTCTGTCTGACGTTTATCAACGCTCCGATTGGTTTTTTACCTCCCACTTATTTAGTCAGAACGCAGAAAACCGCCACTTGTTCCCATCCTGGGCTTGTCTTTGTCCTTGGCCGCACAATGATCTTAGCTGCAATACCTTTGTGAGTGGAATGAAACTTTTTAAATCAAAATGTTGCATTTCATTGCGTATGTGATCAAACCAAAAATCATCCCAATCTGTGTTCATGTTTTTGCTGTTCACCAAATTCCATTGTCTACTGAAGCGATCACACCTCTGGTGGAATATTTTATTAGCATCGCGGGGACCCCGGGATGCCTAGATTGAGGTCACACGTTTGGACTGATACTCTGAACTCAGCTGCCTGTCCATTTTAGTGCCATCAGGGACATGTATCTTTCGAAAATTCAATTCCATTGTGGGAATACTGAGCGCCTTCAGTAACCTGAGAAAAAAACTAGTTCACCTATTGATGAAAATTTCGACCTCATATTTGGGAAAGTGAAGTCAGCTTAACAGGTTTTCAGTGGAAGAATCGGATGAGATCTTTGGAATAGAAAGCTCAATAAACGGACCCTAGCATGCCCACCAAATTTTTTAATGTTTGCATGTCGCATTTTAAGAGTGGATAAGATAATACCTGTGACATTAGTTATTGAAAATATCCACTGTACTGCTACTTCTGGAACGCAGACTCATGTGACTAGAGTGTTCTCACCAAATGGACTTTAACATGTGAGAAGGCGTAACTGAAACTCGGGTATAACAATGTTACAACTATGTGTCACTGGGTTAACAGTACATTTAAACCGGGCTGACAATAAGGGTTTTTTCCTCGTGTAACTACTACCTCGTAAATTTTCAGATCTGTACTACAGAATTTCACGCGGACCATGTGGCGATCACACGGAAAAGTAATTCTGTCAACTGCTTGTTTCTTTATCAGGTATTCGGATTACCGATTTTACTACAAACGTCAGCTCCAAATCGGTTTTTGCCTTCAGTTGTATCCATTTGCTCACACACAGCAGAGGAAGCTGGCTCCTGGCACAACGCGAAATGAGAGAAACAGATCTGCACTCACCTGACTTCTGAGTGACCTTGGGAGGAAGTGTTGCCACTTTCACAGCGAGTCCATAGGCTCCCTTGAAAGTTGTGCTATCTCGAATGAGGAAGTTGCCTGGAGGCTGTTGACGCAGTATGTTTATCGCTGAAGATAGGTTGAAAGAAGAGACAATAGACTGTGGAATGTGGTATGGCCTGTCGAATTCAATTTATGACTTAAATGAGTGAATTTCTTTGCAGGAAGTTACGCTGCACCTAATGACAGCTCTTAAGTCTTCCTAATGACAGAAACAGGACACCGGTAAGAAACATGCCGCCTGATGGACGGTTTAAGTGTGAAATACAGTTGATAAGTAAAATTGATTTCTTGAATCATGGCATATTGACTCCCCGTCTTAAAGGACAACTTCGTTACCAGACCGATCGGATGGCCATAAGAAGTCCACTAGGGCTGAGGTTAACTGACAGTATCTAGGGTCAGAAAATGCCTTAAGAGAGCTAGGACGTGAGAGAGAAAGAGAATACGAAATGACGTGTGCCGTGTCCAATAATTTTCTCTCCCTAAATGACGTTAGTAACTTGAACAGTCCAGAATAGGTTATGTCAATCCTGACTAGGTGTACGGTATCCTAAGGAAAGATCACACACATCTCATTACGGTTCACTCTCTTGGGGTGTATTATTTTACCCGAGAAAATGAACCATTGCCACAGAGACATCAGATGTTCTTGTATACATCGAAGTGGCATGAAGGGATCACACAGATGACCTTCAGAAAATTACTACAGTAATTGGAATAAAGTAAGCTACCAGATATGGCCGAATCATCGGGGACATATGAGGAATTCGGACGCTGGATAATCCGTGTTAATTTCTTCGGAGATGGTATGGATCAGATTTCAAGGCATCGCCCACCAGCATTTTTCAGAATACGCGTTCTAATCACGACAAGAGGAACGAAGTTCACAGTTTTCAAGATTTTCAAGACAGCCGGCACTATTTAGAAGGTTCCATGTTATTGCATCGGGTACTCACTCTCATCACCGAAAAAGTTGCGCAGAGGTCAACGAAATTTCTACTGCCAAAAGATCACTGAAATAACTGAGTAGGAACTGGTTCATTCGCTGAGCTTGTCGCACGGTCGCGTGCATCTACACCACATGGCTACCAATCCAACCTCCATGTGCATCATAGTTACCGCGGTTCAACTGCCCATGCACCTGCAGGCCACGTACTTACGAGTACAGTATGTAGGCCACGGTTAAGTAGGAATGTCGCCCTACCTGACAGATGCGTTATTCGAGTGACTCCATCCTGATCGATGCCTGTGCGGAAGCATCAGGTGAGCCACTTGAAGTTACTCAGCGCTCATTTGCAAACCAAGTTGATGTTGATGGAAAACTCAGCTTAAGTCCACCAAAATCTTTCAATTGTGACAATCCAAAAGTAATTGTTTTGCAGAAAGGTCTCATCGCGCTTCAGAACTTGGGATGACATTCAGGATAAAAAAATTCGTTCTGAATACTGCTCATAAGGTCACTGAAATCCTTAGAAACGTTAGTGATGTGTTCACCGCTTAGGACTACCTGAAGGACCTCAAGATAACGAGCAGTTGATTTTCACTGGCCTTGCAGGAGGCCCTAACAAACTAATGCTAACGTAGTTCACGGCATTTTAAGGCCTTCAAGTGATTTTTCGTAGAGCCGAGAAGCAAAACTGGCGGGAAAAACAATCCAGTGACCCGCTAAAGTTGAGGTCACAAAGTGTCACAAACTGGAATGGACTTGGTTGGTATTTTTGAAAACTCCTATCATCTGGAGCACCAAAATGGAGACTCAACAAAAATCGATACCGATGAAGCTTATGGGATATTTTCAGATAACCATCCTCTTTTAAGGTTACAAACTTCAGGATGAAATGCCATTTAAGTCATTCATTTTATACGAGACGGATAATTTCGAAACTAATTATTGTACTGAGCACCTCAGAGACATTCAGAACAAGCGAGCGAACCTGACCAAAATCAACGAACTGAAACTACACTAAAAGTGAGAAAAAACCCATGAAAACAATTGCTCTACAATGCTGTTTACCGCAACTTTCATTCGGATAAAATGAAATCTCATCATCAAATTAACGACTCCGAATTCTGGTGTTACCAGTCAAATTAGATGACAACTGAATGAAAGCACCCAAACATTAAATCAAACTGTCACAAGTGTGCCATTACTATGCAGCACTGCAATTCACATGTGGACGAATTGATGTCATCTTTAGCTCATATGTTCGTGTTTTTCAAAGCAACATCAACAGCATGGGTGTACGACCAACAAAGGGAAAAATACAGACTTGGACATTCGAAGAAACAAAAACATCATGCTTCGTAAAACAAGGCTGCTAGTAAGCGCAAATAAGCGCCTTCTGCTTGACTGCACCAAGAATTCCGAGTGGCTGTCACTTTAAAAGTCAAGCAGATTGAAAAATTTTGTTTGCTGTGACTTTTAGAAGCAGCGACCACTGCGTTTCCACATTTGGGTAATGGTCGGATTTTTTTGCCACCATTGTTTTACCCCAGTATAACAGAGCCTATGACCGTGATGGTCCAGCAGACTAAATATGACTATCAGTGTTGTCTTCTTGGTGTGAACAACCGAAGCACAGTTGTTTCTCACTTATCCAAATCGGTTTTGTGTAGATAGCTGAAAGAGAATCCGATACTTTCCCGAAAGATTTCAGCTAGGTGGCACTTATAACAACCATGAGAGTGGCTGCTCCTTCCTTCAGTCGCAGCAACCCCATATCCTCCAAACTAAGCTTGACTGGCTGGGGTACTTATTCCGCTGGACGTGATGTAATGGCAAGAACTCACCAGCTTCCCGTGACAATTTCGGTCGATACCAGCTTGGAGCTGTATCCTGCACAGCGCCCAAGTTACCGTTGTCCTGTCCCCTGTCGATAGATGTTTGCTTGACACTCCCATCAACCTTCCAACCGTTTGTGATCACAGGTGTCGTGGTTGTTGGGGCAGCGGTTGAGTTGGTGGAGGACAGATGCCCTCGACTGCCGTTAAGCAGTACAGTCGCTTGAGAGTGGTTGACCAAAGTCGCGCTTGTATTGAATCGAGAAGCTTGCAAAGGCTGAGGTGATGGAGCTTTAGAAAAAGGGGTTCGGGAGTGGAAAAGTACAATCTTCAAGAAAAGGGGGAATAGAAAACAGAGTTTATGTCAAAGGACTCGTTGATGCCTTAGCACTGGACAAAAAGAGAGCCCTCTCGGTAGACGGTAATGTCTCACATGGTTAGTAAGTTCCCTTGAAAGCCAATAATGCCTTCACGGGACTATCTGTTGTCTGAATTCTCACTAATCTATTTTAATCCGCTTGGACGTCACCTCTAATATTAGTTCACTCACTATCCTAACTGACGTTCTACTTTCATGCTGAGAAAAACGCTGGCAAAACTTTTAAGTTCTTCCACTCAAATAATGAGTAACAACGTTATCAGAGACATCACAGAAATAAGCGATATGGGAATTCGTCCAGACGGTACTGGCTAGGAGCGCTTAGCTTGCAGATGTTCGTGGCGTTATAAATGTCTTGAAAGGGTCACAAGATCTACTATGATGAAAAGCTGAGAATGGTGCCTTTACGATGGCTTGGACTAATCAATAATAAAATGAGAGGAAGTACTGATATGCACTTGTGCAGAACACGTTACTACAAGGGTTTCAACAAACAATGATTATTTTTCGTGATTGTCATGGAGTGAGGCGTGACTAATTTGTGAGGAAATAAACTGAAATTAGTTCCGTTTTTTGTCAATTATTCATGAGCTCCTCCAAAAAATAACTAAATTTTTGTAACTAGTGAGTTAAACAGGTGATACCTATTGAACAAAATACCCCACCTCCGCATACAGGTGGGGAACTACTGATTGGAACTAACAAGTAATAGCTAGTTTGTCAGCCGAACTGGACAGTTGAAGTTAACTTACATATCATCGTTTGAGACTGATGCATGGGCATAGGTTTAACCAAGTCGCTGTTGGAGTTGTTCCGCGCGAGGAACCTGGAAACAGTAATAGGAGGGGGTAGTAAGTCAACTCAGCAAGCAAAGAAACCACCATATCGCATGTAACTGCCTTCTACCCATTCAGGTACACTGATGTACACAAAGATACAGAAGCCATAGACCCAGCACAACACTCAAAGCTTGATTTAAGTGTCACCGGTGTACTTTTCCCGGGAATGGGTCGATGTATCGAGTACAAAGGAACCCCTTAATTCTGCCTGCTTGGATAACATAATTGTCTCACCTGAACTGGGAATGTTCAATGTTCGAAACTAAAACTCCAATATATGAACTCCCAAGTCATTTTAGCCTCCCCACGATCCTCAGTCTTTGTCAGGTTTCTTGAGCAAATTCGATTACAAGCTTAAGCCGATCAAGGGCAAGGACAGAACGGGCGATAGCACAAGAGCAACACGAACCACCAATAGCAATTTTCACTGAGCTAGTAAACTACCTTGGTTTTTCACTCACAAATAACCCCTTTTACTGTGAGCAAGTGTAAAAGGCCATCAAGGTCAGTCCAAACTGTGTAAAAACTTCAAATATACTTCAAGCTCCTTGATGTACCATGTCAATAACAGGTTTGTGAGCCTCATTCGAAATCCTCACGATAAAATGAGACAAAAAAGTGTAGAGTTGTTGTGAGGTCACAACTTGTTTTGTTCCTGCACCTGCCATTTCAGTCACTATTCGACAGATGTTACCGTTCATTAGTATGCTGCTTATGCACACTTAAAAAATACCGGTCCTTTGGAGGTCTGTTCAAGACTAATAGTTCTGAGACAGACAGACCAGTTCATCAGATTAATATTTGGATTTTCATGCCTGTCGATGAGGTATGGTCTCTGGAGGTATTTAGAGTTTCGAAGAAAACGGTCGCTGTTTGACAATATATGCCTGCTAGAGCCCCTAACACTCATCCACGCATCAGGAATGAAGTAAACTTCTTAGAATACTCGACAGACTTCAGCTGTCTCGGTAGCTTGACTTCTGAACTTGGGCTGACCTTCTGTGTTCCCAGGGTTGTAAAGCTTTCGAGGGACCTTGCAAACGTGTGTGACTCAAGAACGAACTGCGTGTCTACAAACCAGTGGTCCAACTAAAAGTTACCGCAGCAGTGGTCACGTACGTCCAGACCCTGAGGAGCCCTGATGGGGTGGATACTACTTGTCCGCTGGCCTGAAAGGCGCGAGATGGAGGTTCTACGTCAGGTGCGCCGTGAAGAAATAGTCTCATAATAATTGAGGCTTGTATTTATAGAAATTTCGCCTCACAATTAAAGGCAGCCCAAACTCAAAAGCCGAGATTCACTTCAAAGCTGCTTCATCCTTCATGGCATTACGAGAAGTGCGTATCTCGTGAAACTCCGGTAGGGGGTTTCGAATCGACAGCCTCCAGGCTGATGGTAGTTTGAATACTTAGTCGTTCTTTAAAGGGAAGAAAATGAACCCCGGAGCACCTAAACTAGGAAGATCTGTGGAAAACTGAATCCGAATTAGTGGAACCCTTGTGGATATAAGCGATGACACCGTGGTAGTAGGTTTCAAAACCAGCAACATCAACCTCATCTGATGAAAAGTCAAAAACACAAAACAGGGTGGTATAGCGGTTGAGGATACAAACTGATACGCGTCAGCTTAGTAACCATCAACTTCGAGCTGGATAACAGAAGGATGAAAGACGTCAGGCCACTATTGGATCTACTGATGGCACAACCAGGATTCGCAACGTCCATGGCTATGTTTGCGCAGGTCGAACACATGGCAACCCGTCAGTTAGAAGTCTTCGGGTACAGAAAATTTAGTGGACCTGGCTTTGCTATTTAAGGCTACAGGACCTGGAGCCTAGTGACAGTGCTGTGCGATCCTCTGTAACTAACACCACAAAAGCAGAACATAGCAGGCACTGGCTACCATAGCGCCACATGCATATGTAATTGGGACTTGATCGCTCTGCGGTTCGGGTTCCCAGTTAATTTGATGCAGGCAGCACTAAGCCTGTGAAATGACACGATACTTCGGTCATTAAGATGGTACTAGGAGTGAAGTTCCATGGATATCACCGTAGGTGTACTCTTTGTTCGGCCCATTAGGAATACAGGTCATCGGTCTACCTGAAGCAACACAAAAATTGGATTGTCTATAGGTTAGCCCTTTGGGTTATAAACATCCCGGGGTGTAAGTGTAACAAATGCGTCAGGGGTGAATTTCTACCTTCTAACCAAACTGATTTTTGGCTGACCATGTGTATGTCAATGGACCCCTCTCTAGCTGTTCAGTTTTTCTTTCCCCCCCCCGTAACTATGGACTACCAGCCGAGTACGCCGGCGATTTTAAATTGCTGTCCCTTATTTACCTTCGGATCTCTCGAGTTTAAACCTAGTAAAAGGTGCTTTACACCCAGCAAAGAACAAACCGTATTATTTGTCTTTTGTAGTGATCCATCAAAGCAGTTCGAGGTGAAGAGAGGTAAGTCCGATTTGGACGTCAGTCAATTATTCGTAACTGTCGTCTACATTTTGCGTCATATTCGCTCTCAGAATCCCCGAAATTCGTGATGGTGGTCCTCAATCCCTCTGGCCATGGAAGGCCCCGTTCTCCCCATATAATACCCTATCTTGGGGACCCACATGTGTCTAAAGGCTTGCTCTCACATCTGTGTGTGGAACAGTGTGGTGACCAATAACGGTCCCCTTAGCTACAAACTTTGGTCGATGCATCGTTACGATGAAATATCATTTTCCTGAAATTGTATGAAACTGGGACCGACACATTTCTTGATATGCGGATCGACCTCGAGCGTCCCGTCAGGTGTTCGCAGGAATCGCCTCCTTAAGCAACATACTGCCTAATTTCAGGGACTTTGTTTTCCCTTCCCTATGTATGCTATGACAAAATGAACTAGGCCTTCTGGACCGCTTACAGTGCAGCCTCCATTACGGTGTCTTGTCCTCTTCCATCAGTGACTCCAAAAGTTAAAAACTTCTCACACGACTTAACGCCTATGTGCATTCCAGTCAATCAAAAAATGTTCTACTTCTTAAATGCGGGAGACCAGGGAGAACTTTCTGCGCACGTCCAACTTCCAAAGCTCTTTTGAGAAATTTTCTTCATACGTTCAGTATGACCGTAAGCAACTCCTGCTCCACACTGCAGCAGAGACTCAATCCATGAAGACCCTGAAATCCTCAGTGAAGAGCTTAGCTACCTTGGTCGCAATAAATCTGATATTTATTCTGGCGTCCCCGTAGGCTCATTTTTCTCCATATTCCCCCAACATTCTTCAGTCGACTCAAACAAACTCTTGTTTCACATATTTTCAAAGCATAATATATCGGTGATTGCGTCATGATGGCTTGATCATATCTACGGAGAATCACACGTTTAATATGTGGACGTCACACAAAGCGCGTGCAGTAGGCTGGACTATCGAAGTGCGCTTATTGGAGCTCATCACCAATTAAACACATAGTGAGACGCTTACAAAGCTCTTAGTGTATCAGCTACACACTAACCACCCTTCCTCCCTTCAGTGAAAAGCTGAGTTGAGTGATGTGCTGAATAGCCGAAGGTCCTAAGTTCGGTGAACCGGAGCAAATCGGGCCAAACGAGTAGCCTCAATAGAGCTTCGCACTCAGTGTTATAGACCCGATGTGCTAAACTTGGGAAACTGGAAGCGAAATCTACGCAGAACTTTCAGTTACCTAGGTGGCTCGTGAATACGTGTCCGCTCGGCTGGTCAGCCGAGGCTGTTTACTTTGAACGACCGGTAGACATCACAGTAGCTTACCACAAGAAGAATTTTCCGGATGGTAATCAGGCATGTTTCCTGGACGCCCCTGACCGAATTTAGGATTAAATGTTAAAACGGTGAATCCATATCACAATGGAATGAACCAAACGTAAAAGTACAATTCTGGATTCCCCCTCATCCACCTGATGAGTTCCAATAAGTTCGGAACCTCGCGCATCTGCAATTTCCGCGATACTGACACATTAGGACTTTAGAAGACTGTATCTTACACAACATTAATCAAGAGCGGTTTACTCTTCAGTTCAAGAGATGCGTTGTTTTCTCGCCACTGTTGGTGCGTTCAGTAATTTCTGGAAGTCAACCGAATATTCACAGTAGAGATATGGTCAAAGTTAATGAGACCGTTTGCGTAAGCAAAGCAAGTTAATTCATCAAATCATTGTAATGTTGAAGTCAGGAGCTTATAACTGGTAATCGTGACGTCTCCTTCCTGCAAACCCAACAAGCCCAGTATGAATGAGTATCTCATTTAGCCGAGCCACTCAGCCATATCATTCCATTACTAGGTGAGACATAGCTCCTATTTTCCAATTTCAGTCTAGCATAATATGCATTTCGGCATAGCTGCTTGTCACATCTTCGATGCTAGGGTAAAAGTACCTTACATGGATTGCGCATAAGTGTTGTATCATCACGTGACTGCTTACGGACTACGTGCAGGATTTTGGTCCGCGGATCAATCGACTAACGTCATTAGTAGCAGTAGTAATCCAAATTCCAGCGCTAAACACGGACTGAATGAATGAAGCTTTGTTCATCCCATTAAAAATGTGATCACATTCCGATAAAATCATATGAACCCAAAAGAGTCAGTGATAGGATAGTGTATTTAGTGCACTGGTGATTTGGTGGGAAACCGTCCTGCCTCGAGCTCAGGTTTCAACAACTAGTCAAAAGGACGCCTGCAATGTTGACAAGTCCAGTCACTGTTTCACTTTATTTTTTGGGCTACTAATAATGAGGAGGCGTACAAATATGGGAGAAACTCACTGTGTGGAAGAGAATCCTCGTTTGGCAAGGCCTCCACGCTGACTGCTGTCCACATTTTGCAGCCCTGGTAACCCACGCACAAGATAAATATAAGTCAATAGAGATTGATAATGACAACAGGCAGATGGTTATGCAAGCAAGGTCTGCAGATACAGGCTAAAGGACCTGCGCCAAGGGGATTTGGCAACTCAAAAAAGTTACTGTTAGAATATATGGCGGGGTGAATCACCAATAAGATATCCCTTCCAGTTGCTGGTATAGAAATTAAATTATGGGCGGATTATCTTTAAAGGTTAGTACATGCAACGTTGTGTTCGAAGTTTATTTAACTCCTCAATGATGCACTGATCCTGTTCGAATTTTCCGACTTGTCAAGTGAAACAATTATGTTAGCAATGTTCAAACTGTCAAGTTACAGATATTATAACTGTTATGTTAAAACGGCTGATTGCAGCAGTGTGTCTGTACTTCATTTCTCTCCAGCTACATGACGTATTATTAAGGTCGTCTGAATCCGGTGCCTTGTAGAATGGTTCTGAGGGCACAGCAATTCTTTTGGAGAGTTGTTCTCAGGCTCAGAAAATGTCAATGGCTTGTTTTTTAAAAGCTAATCAAGAGCCTCTTCAATCAGAAAAGGGCAGAAAAGCAGTCGTTTCCATTGAAATGAATGACACTTTCACCAGGTTATCGATGCACACATGTAACTAATTCACCGGTCTATTTTTATCTCGTTAAACATTAATCAGATGCAGTAAGAGCCAACGAAAACAGCAAAAACAACGACAAATCAGATGGGGATAGGCGTTTAAAATCCATCCCATATTGTGTGAAGTCTTCCACGAAGCGTCAGGTTGTTAAAAATCAGGACGTTAGCGAAGAACGTCACTATCCTTCAATCGTGCGATTTACATCATGTGACCCGGTGTTGATTGGCCCATTGGTTGACACGTTCTTACAGGAAAATCTGTCACCTGTGGGATATTCAGTTTTTTGAGCATTAAGGAGAGTATGAAGCTTCAAACCTAACTTCCATTCATTTTATGAAGTCATAGTATGCAGGAAAGTCGAGCAACACTCCAGCGGTGCATAGTTTACGAATCTCGGAGTCAACTTGTGGAACAAAAGCCCGACCTGAAACTTCGAAAACCTCATTACCAATACCTCGTTACCATTATGAAAGGATTATGACATGTCAACAGCACACTCCATGGTCGATGGCTGCGGCGCCATGCTGATTTTCTGAGAGATGTTGCTTGAAGAGTGATCAGCGATTGCAACAACCAACATGAACAACTTTGAATAGCTATGGTGGTGTGAACCATAGTTGCCCGCGGAAGTTAACGAAAGCGCAACCATGAAGATGTATGCATGAGTTTGATCTTAGCAGTCTGTAGGCTAGTGGGCTTTATGAGATCGAGACGGATCAGTGGCTAAAAAGCGAATTTACTGAACGGATGGTCCAGTATTCGAACCCAACCTCTGCTTGATTGCTCTTGCCTAAGTTTGGGCAACCCGACAGTGTCTCAGTTCTCGTGTTTCCGTCAGGTGATACGGCAGCTGGGCACAGGAAGGGCGTTATAGCTGAACGCTTTATTTCCTTATTTAGTATGCTCCACTGCCTTATTTGAAAGTGTCCGTTAGTTACTCTCAGGAAGTTCGCAAATGAATCATTCCATGTTCTTCTTAAGGGTTCCTGTTTTCATATTTTCACATAAACCCTTCTTCAGATAACCTTTTTGCCGAGTTTTGAGACAGACAAAGAACAAGTCAGCAAGATCAGTTCTGATTGCTGTTGGATGTCAGTTACAAGGTCATGTTGGTTATTGTGAGTGCCTTAATCTTACGATTGATAGGTTGGGGAATTTTAAACCATTCAGTTAGGTTTTGCAACCTAGAACTTTCATTTATGAGATTTAATGGTCATGGTAAACTTTGTCGGTCTGTGTGGGTTTGAAATTTGATCAAAATTGGGGGCGTTGAGTAAGAGATTACGTGGTCCGCCTGGTTCATGCACCTCAGATGAAATCTACTTCTGATGAGGACTCGCTGATTACTGCACACCACCGTGTGTCAGCTCGACTAGTCTAAAATTGTCCTCCGTAATCTTACCAGTGCCACTCTTTCTATTCTATTCACAGTGAGCTTCACACCTCCTCGAATATCGGTTTCTAAGGCTTGAGTGGCAATCAAAAGCGAAAAACTTCTTAGTTATATAAATCCACTGATTGTTTGCAAAACAACAGGGCCGACTTTACGCTCAACCGAGTGGAACTGGTTACTCATATATATGGCTGCAAAGTAACTCACCTATTTTGTTTTTAAACAGTGCCATTCTGAGTTGACTACGCGCGAACTTCTCCCACAAGAGACGGAGGTTGAAGTTAAGCTGACTAATCACCAACATTAATTTGAAACCGAATCAAACCAGAGTGACGAATTGTAACAGAGCAGTGTATGTCTTTATGGCGTACGGGGAAGTTGTGATGCATGAATGCAAACCGAGGACTAACAAACAAGGTACGGTATATTGTAGTTATTGACTGAACCGGAAGCACATGTCAACTTCAGTCCCGTGATTTTACACCGGTCAATAGTCTTAATTTGTTTAAGTACAGGTTCCGTTGTAAAAAGACGGGAATCTATCAATTAATCGAAATCCACACGAATCTCATTGAGTCTGTTTGAAGGAAAGATTTGGTGATCTTTTGAAGGGTTGTTCGTTTATGGAGGATGCGACAAACTTATCACCATCGTTTGAAGGTCATAAAGTGCGTATGGTCACGAAAAAATGTGAGGAATCCATTACAATGGGTTACAGTGGAATGCTGGTAATTGGCAGACATTAACTGACGCCTCATAAGAGAACGACCACAAAGCATTTATTGATATGTTGTCGTTCATTCTTTTCGATGGCACAAATATATTATGTGATAGCAGTTCGCACGAAGCCAAAAAGCATTGAAGCTAGGATCCAGGATTTGTGACGGGTAAGCGTGGGAAAACACCAAAACGTTATGGTGTCGTCTGTACATGCATTCATTAAGGGTGAAAAGCCCTTCAATTTTAAAGGCCATTGGATAGAATATAGTTACACATTTGTTCGCGATTGAGATATGCATCGAAGTGAGGTTGGGGTTGTTCAGTATCGTCACATGCATCTCGAAGATCTAGTGTGGCCATGTGCGGAAAAGTTGCATGTTATGAGAGTTATAGGTACGGTTGTAAGGACAAGTAAGACAGCAACAAACAGTTGGACACCGAGGACATTTAGAAACTAATTTTGTGGTTAAGTACGCACCGAGATCTTCGTTTTCAGAAGATCCAAGTGAGCTACGTGGGGCTAGCTGAAGTGCCTTCATATCCTCGTGTTGCTCGATTTCCTGAAGAGGTGCTGCCTGTTCTGAGTTGACCGTCACTGGACCGACTTCAGCGATCTCTCTATCTGTCTTCGTATCGTCCCCTTTTGACACAAGACGTGGGATAAACTTTTGCATCTGTGAGCGTGCTACTGGTTTCGTATCAGTTAGTGATACGTCTACCTCCAGTGGGTCGGTTAACCTGGCCAAATTGCACAGCGGTGGCGTTGCCCCATTTTGAGTACACCTGTACTGACCTTCCCGAATATCGGAGGTTTTGGTCACTGGCAATCGAGATACTGGAATATCCCCATCACTAGTGTGTAATGTACCAGTATGAGCTGGTTTCTGTGTTTCTACAAGGTTGGATTGGTGCAATGGTACTTTTGGAGCGAAAGAACGTGCTCGACCTGATAGTGTGAAATATGATATCGGTTTTATTCAATAAAATCGATAGTGAGCGCGTCCACAAACGAGTGATTAGTCATCCAGATAGGATGGCACACAGGCGGCGTTTTGTTTGCAAATGTTATAGGCACGAAAAGATGAAACAAGAAACATAAGCCCAACAAACGTGATTGTCACGGGGTTAAGACGATGTTTTCGGTAAGAAAGGGAGAGAGAAAGAGGGAGATGAAAAACCTCACCAATGAAATATGACCGCATGCTAATGTAATTGTTCCCACCGGGTCTCAGATAAAAACATTTGGTTAGTGTTGACCGACAGCGGCATGAATGCACGTGACATGTCTGTGGTCGCCGTACTTTGGCACATACACTTACGTGAAGCACGCGTTCGTCACTGTGTGACTAGTGATCGATGTGCCAAACTCAGGCCCTGGTCATCTGTCCGGTGCCAATTTTAGCTCTATGAAGGGGTTCTCATTGAACTCATCGTACAGCTGTCTTACGTTGTCATGGATTCACTATTTTTATGAAGCATGTTTTGTCAGTCAGAAACATCTGTCCCCTTGAAGCTACCTTTGGGGGTTCAATGTTTGCCTCAGACAAACACTTTTGTTTGATCGCTTTGAATGGTTTTGTTTATATAGTTAATTAAACTAGCGCATAACTACCTAACGCGTATTTAACGTGGTATAGCTTTGTTGATATTCGCCAGTATACCCTGAATGTTTTGTAGAAGATTTGTTCTCTTTCGAATTACGATCGTTCCCAACACTCAGACAGTGCATCAACCAGTCCTTTGGCTATTACCGTGGTTGGCTGACCTGAGCCAACTCTTATCTAGTAAGGCCGAGTGGTACTCAATTCAATAACGCTGCCAAAATCGATCGATATGCCTTCGCCGGTGGTTACTGTATTAGGGCTGTATTGAGGATATTTCGAAAGGAGAAAATAGCTTTACATCCACACCTGCTGATTGATGTCTATTAAGATCTGAACTTAATGTAGGCCATATTTTAATCAGAGACGTCAGAAAGGTGATTTCAAATGCCTTGGGACTAAAATGAGCTGCCCTGACTGTTACCAGTGGGAGCATTCTCATAGCAGCCATACTCGGGGGTTCCGGCAGAACAGATTCGGATCAGCACGAACTTCCGGGTTTATATGCACGACATCGATATTCTTGCCGCCTTGATAGTAAACAGAATGGCAAAAACGAATCAAGTCATCCAAACCCGTAGAATGTTATAACATTCTATGTGGCTACTGATCGCTTTACATGAACAGCCAAAAAAGTTTCCGTCTTTAAGTACACGTATGAAGTCCGGCATACACGATCCTCTCTAAGATCTTCAAACTATTGAGAAAACGACATAACGGACCCAGGCTTAAACATATGGTGCTTATAACTATTTCACGGTAAACAGACAAAATTTTCAAATACGCTTACTTAATCGTTCTTCTGTGGATAGACACCACCTTAAGAAGAGGCCAGATTCACTAGTTCACATCAGGCCTTCTATCTAGGGTGGACAACTAACTGTATCGTTACTGTATCATCAAGATTCTATGTAGATCAGTGATGAGCACAAACCTGAATCTGTCTCGAACGCTTCCTGTGGAGTGTGACTAAGTCCATTCCACGATACATGAGGCGTGTCTACGTTATTCGTCCCAGCTGATTTCGACTGCGCTTCTCGTCTGGGGTGGATGCTACTGATCTCGGACCCTAGTACTGCGAATTCGCTGTCATCAGCGGGGCTGTGTCTGAAGGTTGGATGCTGTACAATCCGATCAGATTGAGACTTGCTGGAATCAGTCAAGACGGACGGTCCCCGTTCAACGCGTGTTATACCTCCCCTGTGGGGTTCACTGCCTATAAAGCCAGTTGGTGTGTTCACCCGCGGTTGTGTGTCGAAAACTTCCGATAATCCGACCAGCTCTCTTGTTGGTGTGGACGCATTGGTAAGAAATGATTTGTATCTACTGTCCACAGGAGAGTGTAGCGGGAGCGGCTGGGGTGGCTTCTGGGAGACAACCGGATTGTAGTTTGTAACGCTTGGGCTGGTGCTCCTCGCTCGGATACCAGAGCTGGATAGCGGTGCAATTGGGAAATGTCTGCCAGATGAGGTAGTTTGCATTCGCTGTACCGATGCGCGTGGTGGAGAAAAAGCCGTTCTAATACGACTTTTTGAATGATTAGGTTCGACTGAACCGCAGTTAGTATGAACAAATGTCCAAAGTTTTGTTCATTACAAAACAGTGTTGGGTTGTGTTTAAGGGCAGGGATGATAGGCGTAAAAGTTAGATCACCCAAATAAAAAACACCAGGTAGATAAGGTTCGGGGTTTGCAGACATAGGGAAGAAAAGAAGACTTAGTTCTCCGTCTATTACATTGGCAAGAAAAGTTACGGTTGCGATAAAACGTGCAAACTAATCAGAACCGTAGTATTTGACAGTCAGTTACGTAATAACCAGTGACCATTTAAGATGAAATCGTACGCTGTTCTGTTGTGGCTCGTTAAAACACAGTTTTATTGATCAGCTAAAGAGATCCACTGGTTAGTCCAATAACTAACCTATAATGATGGGATCTACGGTTTGAGTGATGGGGATCCTATATGTCTTTCTGACTTTTGTATCTATTTTTATGTTCCATATCATCAGTCGTAAATGTTTCCGAAATACAGACAACGTTTGCTTATTTGCTACCGAATGTTTTTTAACGTAAGTACGAACATCCCGATTCTCACTTGAATGTGACTGCCCAGACGAATACCTACCGGAATAAATCATCCCTATAAAGTATTTTTGGGTTAAACTACAGAATTGCGCTTTTCCACTTAGTGACGAGGCAGTAACAGCAAAACATGATTTGTCGAAATAAACATGTGCGTTAGAACTGATTATCCGCAGCCTAAAATTGAGTGAATTTTTGACCACGGTGTAGCGTTGAGCTGAAACGACAGGTCCGAACGGATAAGCATTTTCCCACATTTCACTTCTATTTTTTTAATCATTATTCACTTTGATCGCACACCAAAGTTTCGTATTCCTTCTGATTTCTTCAGATCCTGAATTGGCTTTTCTGCGATTAGAATTTCAACGCATTCGAATCTGACTTCTTGTCTACGCCAACTCAATCATTGATTGCCTTACACAACTTCCCCTATGCTTGTTGGATCAGTTAGAAGCTTGTGGATTTACAAGTACTTTCTTTCCACCTCTTACAAAACAGGTTTCAGACTTTCCACGACTAACAGACTGGGTGTATGGTAGTGGGTAATTGCCCTACGTGGACAGACCTTAGAATCAGAACTGGATGGAGCTTTTGCTCCTCGTTGAAGACGGTAAAACCTATATAGTCTATAAACCTACATACACAATCAAGCTTACCGTGAACTTACACCACTCGTTCTATTAGTTTCCCAGAACTACTGCGGCTGTTCCATTCCAAGACTGGAGTCTAGGTTCCTTCTCACTACAGCTTACCAACAGTAGACATCTCAGTTGTAAGAAATCTGAAACCGGATCATCTGACTTACCACGTGATACTACATCAGAGCACACTGAGCTAAAAGAATAATGAGCAGTTTAGAAGTCTAGGTAAATGGATTCCTTTGGTACTGCTCATTCTGAGGTGCATAACAATAAGACAATCGGGAAAGCTGTCTGACCACAGCACATGTTGTAGTACAAATCAGGAATAAAGTTGAAACCAAAGCCCTCTGTGCTGCGCGGGACAGAAACTTGTAAAACTGTGGTGCCGTGGGAGCGACACATGGTATCAACGGTGTTTCTGGTGTTCAAATGTCCAAAAAGGGGGTTTTGTTTTCCACTTTAACGGCACAAGTAGAAAAATGTTTCGGTGGAGTGTGTTAAAAACTGAGGGGAAGTATTTACCCCGTTCTGTATTTCTTGCCAGGAGTAAAATATCGTCTAAGTATCACTCATAGAAAGGGGGGATACTGAATGTGCTTTTCTACCGATTACCCGTTTACCTGTAGTCCCTCTACACTGCTGACCATTCTTTGCTCACCTGAGACGAACCTTAACTATGATCATGCGCCGAACCTACACTGTAGCACAGCTAACTGTTAGGATAATACGAAAGCCGTACGATCAAAACTCCAAAGCTAGTTTGTCAACTAGTAACCGTATTTACCAGTCACCAGCAGTCGCGGGAGTAAGCACATTGTCGGAACTGACAAGAATCCGAGCAAAAGAACTGCTGCCCAGATGAATTTGTACTCTATCAACTGACCCGGATTTAACTTGAACGACTTGAAAATCAAGTTATGGAGTCCTAGGCATCCGGTCAAGAAGGGTCGTAAAAGTGATCCCCCTTCCGAGTTATATCACGAAGCAGTCATCCACATAGACTGAAAATCCTAAAATCAATACTGACTGATCGATTCAGCTCAGAAAAGTCTGAGAGTCACTAACAGGCTACGCTGGTTTTATTGAACAGTTCGATTCCATACAAACACTACAACCAGCCCTGTGCTTTGTTTCATTTTATTCTATTTTACGCATATGGCAGCAGACGACATTGGACGAAATGAATTCATCCGACAAAATTTTTGTTCTCACTGCTTTGTTCAAATATTGATGAGGTTCGAAGTTCACAAAACGCCGCATGCATCACTAGCAGTGTCGATGGCGATAACCCAGGAACAAGTTGGTAGATAGGAAGTCGTTGAGATGGTAAAACAATTAATTGAAGTCACTGAATGCGTTTCTTTCAGGAAATATCACTGGAACAGAAATTTGTCCTGTTAAGAGGCCCTTACAAAAATCGGGTGATCGCGAACTCGGTTTAAATTCTCACTGTTTCCAAATCCCAAATGAATGATGAAGTTGGGACCAGTTTACTTGCCAGTCCGGTACACAAATCGAAGTACACTCTAATCTATCCTATCAATAGGGGTTGGGCTGGTGATCTAGATTCCTGTCTAGGTTTATTTCAGCTTGTTTAAGAGCTAGTTAATCCCTTGTTTCTGTTTTTTTTTAAGTAACAGCCCTCTATATGTATCGATAAACTTACACATTTTCCTTCCCATAAATTCATGAAGTACTGGCCTAATCCCGTACATCTACTTCATACGGTCGCTGTAGGACTCGTTCAAAGCAGAGCTGGAGGAAAAACGAATAGAAGAAGTGTCCCGATTCTTCAGGACAAGCCACATTATAAGATATTAGGACGCAATCCCAAGAACTTATACCATCTATCTCGATTGAAATTTTGTCTATAACGCATTCTCAAACGGGCTATGACCAGTGAGGGTCAAGTATGATCAAACAACCTTCTGTAAAGAATGACTTTTTCAAGTGATAATGTGAGTCCCCTGTTTCGCTACCGATTTCATTCTGGCAAAAAACACATTCAACTCACCATCCATCATTGATCCCCCTCGACCACGTGGCAGTGTGGTCATTGATCCAACGCGCGAATCTACATCTTGTACTCCACGACCGATGAACTGCAGAACGACCGTTTCGATCTCTTCCACTGCCTCACTCACAGATGGAGTCTGCAACATGGATGAATAAATAATTCAACGTTTTTAAGTTGAAGTATGCCCTACCGTTTGGCTGGAACGTGACGAGCAATTCAACATCCGAAAAAATTTACTTCGAGGACACTAAAATGGCAGAGATCAATAATGAATTACCCATGGAACGAAAAACCTCTACACCGCTACAGTGTTCAAGGTAAATTTCACTTTGCTGAACGAAAACCCTGCATCAAAATGATGACTACAGCATCCTGACTTTAAGGTCGTCAGGTTCGCGTCCATGAAAACTACTCGGAGTTCGCCAATGCGGATGAGTTAATTATATGTATGTAGAGGTGTATCTGTCGGTACGTGTCTGTATTTGTTCGGCTTCGAGAGTACGTGGCGCACTATTCAGGCCAGCAGCAAAAAGGTCCGACTCGACGGGTGATCGCGAGTCGCTACGCTTCAGGCTGCTTTTGTGCACACGTGACCATTCAAAGCTAGTACCCGTTCATGACGCTTCTGTGCACTTTAGACGTTAAAAAGCTGAGATAAGTGACACGTGAGGTATTGGTTGAACAGTCAATCATCGAACCAACCGTTAGTTGGAAGAGGTCAAATCACCTAAGTACAGGTCTCCAAAAACGTCTCCAAAAAACGTCATCACTGTACTTTCATCATCGTTTCATCATCGAGGCCTCAAGTTGTGAACTGGATAAGGAGACATGTTCACTTTAAAAAGACTGGTTATGTCTGCTCAAAAGCGAACACTTCCAAGAAAGAAACAATGCATAGCAGTCAAACAGACGTAATACACGGCGCATGAGGTTGCTGAAAACTCTTCGACAGCCCACGACCTGTTTCGTCCCTCTTGACCCTGCCTGGCTCATCAAGTAGGCGCAGTACCCGAGTTTCCGTCAAACTTGTTTTACTTAAATCCAAACTTCATGAGATTCAAATTATACACTCATCTGCATGCCAATTTGTCTTTGACCTGAACCTCTCGTTTATGATGTACCATGTGAGTCCCTGTCAAAACCAAATTGGTATGCGGATGTTGAATCTAACTTGACGTTATGGTAATTCCCCCATTCATTTGCTTACTCCGCCTATGTACTTTTGACCTCCAGTTGTATTGTTTATTCGTACCCGGCACTCACCTTGCCATCCTTTCCGATACTTGTGTATTGACATGTGTGTCTGTGTGAATGTGCGTCGCTGACCTACTTACCCATGCGCGATCATGTCCCGTTTGCTGAGCCTGCCTTAACTTGTTTTCTCATGGGCTCCGCGTGATCGCACGTCCAATGAGAATCACGAGACCGTCGTCGGAAGGAACGACTGCAACCCACGCTGCTGAGCCATCATTCCGCTGGCCGTTGTTTGGTGTGCGGACGTTGACACTGCACTGTGCCGGTCAGTAACAGACCTGTGACCTTGTTGACGCTACGAACGTGAACAATTGAGGTTTGTTGTACACATTTGCTTACCCTTTGTGTAAATAGTACCGTAGAATTACGAACCCAATTCTTCCTTTTGATATTCGGGATTGTTGAACCTACGCGTCACTCAGTTCCGTATCGGGATCCTCAACAGCGAATGAGTGTATAGGTGTAACTACTCACTATTTATATAGCGAGCGCGGAGGCACCGAACAGCGTTTCAGACTAACGGATAACCGGAAAGTCTCCACATTAACTCTGGTTAGCTCTCACTATAGTTAATTAGGGCATTTTCCGAGCCTGAATTTCAGATCCGGACATGTGGTTGTGCGAGGGAAGCATACAACCAGCTCTCCACAATTACGCATTAGACACAGCTGAGTTACCACCAGTGACATCCGAACAGGCAAACGCGCTCGCGCCTGTGCATTGTGATCGGTTTGCACGAGGTAGTAAGTTTCAAGCTTCGGGGCGGGGAGTCCTGACAAGCGGGTCGATCGACCGACACAAGCAGGACAGCCACTCAGCCATAGTCCGAGTCGTCCGACAAGCCGATCACATCGCTCAGTCATATTCAGACGTGATTATTCAGTGCCTCCGGCGTGCAGCGATAGATAGTGATATGTCCACCTCGTGTGTCACTTCCGGGGTTGAAATTACTGTGTGGCCAAGGCACTTGTGAATTCTAACAACGGCCCCCTTTGGTACGCACTGATCGAGTAACGACGCCAGGACAGGAGTAGGACTGCTTGGGCGGGAGTGGTGTGAATGTGTATAAATAGAATACGTTTCTACAAGTACAAATCAATTCGCAAATCAGTTTTGTTTTCACAGTAGACTCAAATGAATCTCTCGTTTACAATATATTTAAGCTGAATGTGCCGCACGAAGGCCGACTCACGCTTCCGTTGGTACGATATTCGAGGAAACTACTCACAAGTTTGCTGAAAACTCTTTGACAGCCCAGGACAAGTTTCGGTCCCCCCCCTTTGCCCTGCCCGGCTCATCAGGTAGGCGCAATCCCCGAGTTTCCATCTAACCTTATGTTCAACTTGAACACAAATTGGACTGATTTCGACAAATCCACTCATTTGCAAATCAATTTGTTTTTCAATTTTCTGTACATAACCCTGGATAAAAAACGTAGTTTGAACTAAACTGTAAGAAGCTACTAAACCAAGCTACCTGACATAGTTGCACACTTTCGCTGACACGGCAAACCGACTGTAAACGCATCGAGGATACAGTTTAATAAATAGAGTGGACCGACTGGATCGATTGAAACATTTCTATTGCTGTTTGCTTCCTTTAAACACATCCAATTAATAATTGCTGCAACAAACTTCATCTTTGTTCAAACAAAGGACTGGAAACTAAATTTATGGGCTTGGCTAAAAGACTTCGTAAGGCTCTAGAAACCCGGCGGTGTTACCTATAAGCTGGCCACAGTTCGTGTTGCGCTAGGCTGGAAGCTCAGAGCGCGAGGTGACAGTATTCGCGTGCAAAAACGAATCGATGCATCGACGAAACATGACCACGGTATGGACCCTGTGGTACGACCCTGGATGATAACGTGACCCCCTCGGAAGTCCAAAAAGACGGTGGATCTGCGATAATTTGATGAGTAATCTGTTCTCTAGAAAAAAGCAAATAGTCTTATCTAATGGATCGGCTCCAACAACCCCCCCTGGAATAAGTTCTCTTTTCGTCCAATCCTGGTACTATCTAGATCATGTGGGAAAAAGACTGAAGATAAACTATCATCCGGGTTCGTAGACAGCGCCCTGGAACTAAGGTATGGGATAGCGGAAATCCATTCCAAACATGAACGAGGAGATAGGTAAAATAATCATAACAAAATGGAAGATACCCATACAATTTCCCGTGATTTTCACTCGCACTTCGATCCAACAGGTTAGCTGGTGTGGGTTAGAGTACACAACCATGGAATTAAATCCACTACAAACTGAAGTATCAGTTGACAACTTGTGTTAATTAGAGTACCTATTAGCTGTCCATAAATGGGAACTTGATTTTATACGAGCACAAAATTCTGTTGGTCACCCATTGAATCAATCAACTCACATTAACAGCTGACAACGATCTATACTGTTGTTGCTGTCGATTTTGCTGGTGCAATTGCTCGTTCAATCCGGTTGATGATGCAGCAAGTTGGCGTTTTTGTTGTTGACGCAACAGTAGCTCACGTTCGCGTTCCTGGCGGAGTCGTTCTCGATGGGCCGAGTAACCCGACCGTCCTGGTTGGTTAGAGGCTGAGGTGGTGGTCTTGACGGAAAGGTCGGTTTCTGACAGAACAGACAGGACAAAAGGAACTGATTCCTGACTGACTCATGTTGGCCTGTTCATTGAATTTAGTAGGCGGTCGTTACGGGCTACTATGATGATAGCATTCTACGGTCTGCATAAACTTTAATCTAACGAAGCCTTTTGGGAAACTTTTTAAACACTATGTTAGCGTTTGTCAGTCTACCCTTAAACTAAGCCTGCAGCGTAGCCATCACTGCTATTTATCGGTACTATAAGATAGCAAGCACCACCCCGGAAAACTTCAAGGATTACGTGCGACAAGGTTGGAAAGCCTTTTCAAGGGGTATAGGTAAGATTGGAGAAGATTTCTCATAGAATCGATGTCCTCATCAAAGTATATTGAGCCCTGTTCATCGTTCCTAAAAGCGTTTAGTCAAACTAAAACGGTTACGAGAATGAAATCCGCCCATAATTTCGCTTAAAATCCTGACAGGATCTTTTGAGTTACGTTAAATTCCACCAAGACATCCTATGCTAGTAACCCAGATCTACTAATATGTTGTCACTGTTAAGGATCGATGTCACCAGGACTGGTGTTATAATGTCCAACTACATCAGCGGTTCCTTTTGGAATGGACGTCATTTAGCTTGGCCTAAGTTAAATGCAAAGTGATATTCGGCGGAAATTGCCACAGGTGCACTTTTTAACGAAGGTACTGAAGAGGAGCGTACGATCATCGTTCCGATCCCCCAGGTTTGATCTGAACTCATCAGACACGAATGCACAGCAGTAATAAATGTCTGGCACATTCGTACTGGACGAAACAAAATTTCTTGTAAGGCACTCACGAAGGCTGTTTTTAGCGCCGAATATAGCTACTATACGTTTTCTCCATTTCATAGGCATGAACAGGAGATACGGTCCTTTTGAAGCGATCCTTTAGACTCCGTCTCATCCAGGAATAGTAAGTAGTACATTTTGCTAAATCTAGGAAGTTACTAATTCTAGGCCCTGAACTGTTGTTTTCAAAACTTATCACAACCCTCACACTTGTGAAGTGCGTGTGGGTGTACATACTGAGCGCCTTGGTTGGTACTTTGAGCATGATCGTTTACATCTATCCGTTTCTCATATTTAATTAGCTTTTAATTAGATTGTGAGATTGTCACACTTCACACGAGCATATTGCTTGTCCGCTGGTTAATTTTACTCATTTCAAAAACTAAACAGACAGTTCCAAATGCACCAGTCTCTCCATTGAACAAAAATTTGCTTTGAATTTGACAAATATACCTCAGCTACCGGTGCATGTATGTGTGTTTGATACTAAAGGATACAATCAAATGAAAAAGCTTACATTGACAGAAATTATTTTTAGAGATATAGGGTTACGGTATACCAGCGAATAAGCAAAAATGATAAGCTATATCATCATATATAGACAAGCATGCGGTGCAGTTTGTTGGAGTCTAAATGCCGTTAGAAAATACTGACCGGATCCTTGACGATAGTTCTGTGAACGTAGATTCCAAGACCGAGTAGTCTGGACGTTCGTATGACTCATTGCTCTTTTAGACAAAGGAAAACCAGCGCCGTCTGGATTGGGACACAGGCAGGGGAGAGTAGGGTCACCGGATCGATGGGAATGGGTGAGGGGATGAAAAGCAGCAGAAGTGGCAGGTACAGCTGTTAGTAAATCAGAATGAAATTAACCGGAAATAACAAAAAAGTTAAGCATGAAGGTATTTAAGATGCGCCAGAATTAGCGTTAGGTAACCTAGACATCTGGGAAGGTATCCGGTGAGTTGCGAGCTTATGTAAATGTGCTGTGCATCCGAATTACACGTCACGCATTCCGAGGCCACGATATTAGCGCAGAATCAAAGCGTTGCAAACCACCACTCGCTGGGTGAGCGAACGTTGTAGATTAGCTGAAAGCCAGGCGAGTCTTGCCTTGGGCCTGTTCGCGTACGCTGTGTAAAGCATCTTCCAGCCGACCGGAACCAACAGTAGGCTGACGTCCGTTATGCCGCATTCCAGAAGGTGATGAACGTGACCAGGCTGATGGCTCCGATCTAACGACATCTTGCTCCTCTGGAGGGCTTATGTAAGATAAATTTGGTTGGCCTTCTGCTTTCATGAGCTGGACGTTTTCAATACCAGCTGCCTGTAGGCCGTTCATGTGCTCTTCGCCATTTGCGCGTGAAGTCCCCCCTGGTGTTACATTTGATGATGTGTGAACTGGTTGGGCAAATGTGACCTCAATTGTTGGTGCTGTGACGATGCGACGGCCCCAGCCTGGTGGACGACTTTCACATTTAATGATGGTCTCTGGCTTCGCAAAATGAACTTCTAAGGAGTGGCCATTGTCTTTCCCAGGTCCTGAAGATTTAACCACACTGACAACAGCTTTTAAAGGTTTTGGACCCTCATGAAGTTCAGCATATTGTGGAAAAAGTGGCTCCATTTGAGTGAACAGTTCACTGTGAGGGGTACTTCTGGACGATGCAAAGTGATCAGCAACAGTAGTCATGGCTTGTGGATAACTGGGATTTTTTGATAAGCTCGTAACTGCTTCGCTGTCCTCGGGTGTATCTAAAGCAACAATTGTGAACTCATCAGCAAAATATTGACAACCCACGACAGTCAGTGCTCATTAACAAAGGTAATATCAATATAGTCGGTTGAAGTGTGCTACCAATAGGGTGATTACCTGCTAAGACCTACATCCGGCCATAACCACTTGAACGTCATGATTTTAGTTCCAGGAATTTTCAGCCGATGTGGGAGCACAAGAGAAGACATGCAAGGTCATTCAAAACTTAATTTAAAAAAGGACAAAAGTGCGTTTCAAAGTATCATTATGGCTGCTTTAATTAAAAACGTAGAGAGAGGCTGAAAATTGCCGAGTCCGCTTCCAGGTGAACCGTTCAAACCCCCGGATCCCATTAGTTTTTTTGCTGTGTATGCTAAAAATAACCGATCTGAAAAACGCGTTCAAGCTGATTTGAACACGATTCCGGATCAAGTCGAATAGATCAAACAAACTCAAACGACTCGATAATTCCCTGCCTGTTCCTATGAAGAGTGAGCTGTGCTATTGGAACTTAGCCACCTAGATAATTTTTTCTGACCTTCATAGATCAAGACAATGTTCTTTGTTTCAAGTTAGGAATATAGGTTTACGCACCACTGCCTCTACTATGAGTATTTCTTATAGACGGATATAAAGTTCGTGGTGTTGGGGTCAATATTCTTCTGGTTTCGCGTGGAACAAAACGGTATGAGTCGCGCAGACTAGTCGACCGAATGACTTTCGTTTTCTCTCGTTCCAAAATTTGATCTCTCGAAGAAGTGGACACAGGAGCAGGCCGGTGAACTTTCTTGCGTGATTTCGATGTTATTGTGTGTCTGATTCGAGAGTACGAGGATCCTTGGTCTTGTCCATATGGGGTAGGGGAGAACGTACCAGCTCGATGGAAAAATTGATGACCGTGAACGTGTCTGGATGCTCCTTGGGGAAAACAGTACGAACAATGTGCCTCATGACAATTCTGTTTCCGAGCTGATGATGTGGTCCTTTCAGAACTCCCTGATCGACTTCGGGTAAGAGTCGTTGATAATTTTGCCGTTTTATTCACGACCTTTGACGACTTTGAGGATAAATGACGAATCGGAATCTTGACAGAGTCATCGGTTTCTCGTTCGGAGGAATCATATTTTTCACTGTCACTGAGATTGAGATGTCTTCTTTCATTGAACGTTGAGACGCTGGTTTTTTGTTCCAAATCACTGCAGGCTATGGGGGAAGGGAGAAAAAGTTCGGGATATAGTGTGATGAATTCCGGAACCTTCGTACGTATAAACAAGAGTAAGCTTGCTTTTGTGATACAACATACTGCTCATTAAGTTGCTGAAAACACTTGATCCACTACCGGTTTCGTGCTTCTCATCAGGTAGGTTTGTTCTCCTAGTATATACCCAGCTTGTGTTTTCCGTGAGCCTAAATTACACGAAATTCGACAAATACACGCATATGCCAATCACTTTCGATTATCGGGAGGTGCAGCTAAGCCCTAGCTGACATCCTTCGAACTACGTGTGCTGTACAAAACCACTCCTTTCTTTGTTTGGTACAGCTGGCATCGAGATATGAAAGCACATCTTGTTCGTACACCACTCCCAGGAGTAGGCTTAGTAGATGTCAGTTTGAGTGACTGACTATTTATATATTTATTGACGCACGATAAAGGAGACGGTATGACTTCATGTGAGATATCATTGCATTCAGATTTCTCATGCACCAGGACATACACTTGTACACAGTAGACTAAATCGATCAGAGTGGCACACCAGGTCACCCGACCTAAAAATTCCAAGAAAACACATTTTGGGTGGTCCAGACTCATTCCATACTATCTGAAAACACTAAAACTCACGAATGAGAGGGAATTGCAAACTATGGGCCGTCATTCCTAAATTAGTGCCTTCAGAGACAAGATCAAACAAACTGACAATAATACTTATTTGCAAATCAATTTAGTTTTCACGGTAGACTCAACTGAATCTCTCTTCAACTGAATGTGCTACACAAAGACTGCCTTATGTTTCAGTTGGTACGATATTCGAGATATCACAGTATATTTTGATAAAGGAAACTAGTCACCAGACTGATTTGCAACTGAGTGTATTTGTCACAACCAGTCCTATTTGTGTTCAAGCAGAACATGCGGTTGACGGAAAGTTGAGGGCTGCGCCTAGCTGATGAGCTCCAAGAAGGGCAAAACCGTTCATGGGTTATTGAAGAGTTTTCAACGATGAAAACTTTATGAAAACTAACATTAAGTTTAGCAGTTTGCTTCCGGAAAAGTACGTTTCAGAAGGCATGCCTTTTGAAAAGACCACATTTATGGCTTTTTTCGATAGTAAGTTCTATCTCTTGAAAGAAGCCATTTTTTCTCTTCGGGGATCCTTTCTCCTCAGTCATGTTATGCCTGTGAAAGCTTAGTACCAAAGTGGACTGAAATTTGAAGTTGAAATCAGACAGTTCATGACATTGCAACGTCAGTTCACAAGCAATAATTCTTGTCCATATCGGTGAATTCTCAAAAGCAGAATACGTTTCTAAGATCGTGCAAGGGGTACTTCCATTGAAGAATGTGTCCAGCACCAGAAGCTGCGTTGGTTAGGCTATGTATTGCGTATGCCGAACCATAGTTTACCCAACACAGTGCTGTTTTCTATGCCCAGTTAAGAGTGGCGGAAGCAGACAGGCGGCCAACCATTGACGTGGCGAGGGGTATAAAGGAGATCACGAAACGTTTGGGTGCTGTCGGTGCTATTCGCCTTCCAGGATGGGCACCGCGTGATCCCAACTTTACCTAGTTGGAGGCACTGCAAGTGAAGCATACCAACTGACGTCAGTGGCGATCTTGTTGTCAGTTTCTATCCAGTGTTTGGACGTGTAGGCATCTCGGAATAATTGTAGCACTAAGTCCTTCTCGCGTCTACCTTGATTATTTTCTTCACAATAAGGCTTACAAATAAATTGTTGTAATGCAGCGAAGCGTCTCTGTTGAACACTAATGTCATGCTGTTAATGATGGAGATGATGACTAGGATGATGATGTACGTCATCCTAATTAGTGACTTCCAAAACCCTCCCATTGTGTCAACGACCCACGACGTGTATTCTTTCGTACAAGGATGAATGTTATACTTGTTTCATCAGACAGATGAACAGCTGTGGTTTATTGCTGCATTACAATCGAGAAAAAAGCACTGAAAGATAGTGCTGAAAACTCTGCTATAGCAACCTTCGTGTAGTTTCTTTCAAGAAGAAATATACGGTAATATCGCGAATATTGTACCAACTGAAACATGAGGTGGTCTTCATGCAGCACATTCAGTTAAAAAATATCATAACTGAGAGATTCAGTTGGGTCCTCCGTCAAAACGAAATTACTGTGCAAATGATTGTATTTCCCTATTATACTTTTCAGTATCCTAGCTATATTGTACCAAACATGAGGTGGTCTTCATGCAGCACATTCAGTTAAAAAATATCATAACTGAGAGATTCAGTTGGGTCCTCCGTCAAAACGAAATTACTGTGCAAATGATTGTATTTCCCTATTATACTTTTCAGTATCCTAGCTATCAACCATAACTTGCGGCAAAGGCGTCAAGCACCCCAAGCGATCACCTGCGCACTGACTGATGGTTCTTGCTTCATTCACAGAAGCTCGAGCTGACTGAATTTAGACCGTTGGTCTGATTGTGAGAAACACCAACAATTAGACGATTGTTTTTCAGACCCTTCTGAAACAAAATACGACTCGGTGTTTAAGATGTGGCCACAATGCCGGTCCACGGCAGATAACAGTTTTTTTTCTTGGTGGAACATATTACTCATAAATTTATTGAAGACTTTTCGACAAACCAAGATTGGTATCACCTTTTTTGGGGTGTATCAGGTAAGCATAGTTCCCTATTTTGTGTCATCCTCACGTTCTATCCGAACAACTGTTGATTTGAGTGGGCATAGCGAGTGGATGGATATGACTCCCAGACGTGTGAGAACACGGGTGCTCACATCGAAGTGGTAACCAGTATGCGATGCATATCGTAATATCGACCCTGAAGCCGCAAAAGCTAGCCTTGGTCAGCTTCACCGTGTGCTTTACCAGTGGTCCAGGTATGTGAAGAACCTTTCAGTGGAATTTTAAATGCACGTCCACGCACTGGCAGATTGTGTCGATACGTAAAGTACATTGATTCTACACTCATGTCAGCTACATCCCGAATTAACCAACCGATCCGCAAAGAATATTGGTGCACAGCGCATATGTTACACATCAATCGAAGCAAGTTAAGGTGTGGGTGCTTTATGCTAGTCAAATAGAAATACTTTCGATTCACAAATCACACCCCAGGGCAGCAACATTTACTGGTTTTCTCCTCAATCAGTACCCTTACAAACAACCAGATATCACGTGAGTGGATCGGGTTCGTCATCGACGATAATGGAGACTAATTCTCATCAAATTAACCGGGGAAAGCATGAAAAATCGTTTTGGTGTCAATCACGGGATCCATGTCACGTGGTCACACGTGTTGACTGGCTCCTCGAGTGACGACTTCGCAAACGGAAATTTCACTCACTGGGGGGCTATATTCTGTCTAAACGAGAGCTAATCACTTGTAATGTACTACTCATAAGGTTGCTGAATATCCATCGACAGCCCACGACCGGTTTCGCCCCTCTTGGGGCTCGTCAGGTAGGCGCAATCCCCGGGTTTCCGTCAACATTATGTTCTACTTGAAACCAAATTGCACGAAATTAGCGAATATACACTCGTCTGCAAACTAATTCGGTTCTTTCGAGAGACTCACCTGGAACCCAGCTGAATCTCTCGTTCATGATGTTCTCAGGCAACTGAATGTGCTGCACCAGGCCGCCTCATGTTTCAGTCGCTACGATATTTGAAATATCGTGATAAATGTATATTTGTAATGTACTACTCATAAGGTTCCTAAAATTCCATCGGCAGCCCACGACCGGTTTTGCCCTTCTTGAGGCTCATCAGGTAGGCACAGTCCCCGAGTTTCTCGAAAACAGTTCAATTTAGGTTCAAGTAGATCATAAGGTTGACGGAAACTCGGGGACTGTGCCTACCTAATGAGCCCCAAGAAGAGCTAATCACATTTCCGGTCAGTCGCTCTTGGCTGAACTGTTAAGTGTTCTAACGACTAGTCGGGAGGTCGCTTGTTCGAGACTCTCTACTGAAGTATCGTGATATGCACACTACTGACGATTCCCGATAAGGATGAAAGAGCTGTACAGTGCTTCTCAGCTTTAGATTATAGATGGGCTTCACTTACACGACAAAATTCCTTATGAAATTCCGAATCTCATCAGACTACTAACAATCAATGATTGAATTATTTAACTTGAAGTTAGATAAATTTGCACATTTACCCTTCATCCCCTGCCATTGCAAACTAGAATGCATATATCCATTTGTCATTAGGAATAACGTCTCAAGAAGAACGCACTCAAGAATAACACATACGATTAATATAATTTCTTTGTGATGTAAAGGCCAATTCAAGGAAGAAAACGATGTTTATTGTAACAAGAGTGATCCTGATCCTCCGTAATCAGAATGGAGTACTTCTCATTTTGCAGCAGTGCTTGGAAAATAGTTTACGAATGGTGGCTGAAGCTAAAAGTTTGGCGCTTCATTCTTAGTTCCAGGGAAAAAAACAATAACACCGGGAATATCGATCGCAATCCGATTGTCAACTGTAGATCCATCAAATTCTGTATTTTTCATGTTCATTTGCACGCTCCGTTGAAATATTGACGAACTTGTCACGTGCTTTATGTGTCTATCGTTGCTTATGTCATCCAGATAAAAGAACGGTAGTGTCAAAATGAAATCGCGAACAATTTTGTAATTGAGTGACTTATGCTCACATACTTAGCTCACGATCGATATAATACTCGGCGTCTACCATTCCACGTCCGTCTTGCGGTCAAAACTTGAGTTTCGTAAGGACAGTATAGTGGAAATTGCAGACTGGCGCACAACGTTGTGACTAAAACCGATGCAAGACGAACGGAGTCATTATTCCTAACTGATGAGCCTACAAGGACAAAGTTATTAATGGAGGGGGAGAAGAAACATGTGAAAGAGGAAGAAAGGGGGTGTCAGCAGTAGTCTGTTTTTGCTTACTCACCCTGCTGTATGCAGTAAGTAAAGCGACCCGGTTGATGACACTGCGCGACGACCGATGTGACGTGACAATGTTGTAAGTTGTAGGTACCATGGTCGTACGTGGGCTGAGATACTGCTCACGGTGCCCAGACTTAGACAGGAGAACTGTTTGGCTCCTCGACCGAAGCCTTTGGCTCAAAAACCACGAGGCAACATTGTTTGGCAAGAAATGCAAGTGCATTAGCATTTGCAAAGAAGAAGTCGTCACGCACGTTCTAACCCACAACCTGGAGGACCAGGAGACTGTTTGTCAAACCTCTAGCCACTGACCAAACTGGAATGAGAAAATCTACGAGAGTCGCACGGACACCCCCAACTATGGCTCAATGGGTCGAGGAGACACATGAAGCGTCAAACTATGGCAAGGCCCAGTCTCACGGCAAATCCATAAATGTAAGCGGTATTTTGATCGTTGGGATGAGAGGAATTTTCAATCCTAGATCACAATATTCCGGAGGATTACGAACTTCTTACGAGGTCGCCATCCAAGAAAGACACATGGGTACGATAGCAAGTGCTCAAAGCCTGAGTAGATCTACTTCTTATTTTTACTCGCGAAATTACAAACCAACAGGTATGGCTTCGATCAGCTTCTCCGTGAAGATTGTGCAAAGTGAGGAGGAAGTCTATCGGTCCATCGGATTACAAATAAGCTAAACAATGGAGATTGGCCTTGAGTCGACGTTTTCGGAAAGGTCTGGAAAGTAATAGGCAGATTTACTGCAGGTCATGGGCAATAAGGTCGTGGGTCCGAAACCCTAATTTTCGTGAGATACTCACTGGTGATGGTTCCCAACAAGGAAGAAGCAGTTGTACAGTGCTTCTCGGCTTTATTGGTGTGCATGCATCCTGATATGGGAGCACCAGGATTCGTCACGTTCCGACTGCCACATCTGAACCACGGGGTACTGCGCTAAGAATTTCACACCATCCAATCACGCTTGATGCCACACCTTCAGCCAATCGATCTATTGCTCTGATATGATTCCGTTCCGAAATGCCGACAGAAAGCCAAAATACTCGGAGAAAACCGACATTCGGTGGGAGTTCGCGCACCACAACAGATTTACAGTTGAGTTACCTAATGAGACAAAGGTGAATATCACTGCAAGTAATTGTGTCATCTGTCAGGTTTGACTGGGCGAAGCTGGTGCTTTTTCTATCCATAACTTTGAATTCGATGAGGCTCCTTTCGAGAAATTTCCTTCATACGCGCAGTCAGTTGCACGCAGTAATGTGAATTTCAACTCAGCGCATTTTCGTCCCCATCGTAGATTACGGTGCCTGCATTAAGATGGAGTGGACCGCTTGAATCAGCCTATGCATGAATCGACTTTCATAATTTCTCAAACAATCTGATTGATCGATCTGCCAGTTCATGCTTATTCATTTGACAGAGTAAGGCGGAACCTACGACTGGACCCTAGTCAGCGTGATGGTTGAAACACCCTTGTAGTCATTTCGGCGCAACTGTCCAACGTTGGTAGATAAGTAATCTTCTTGACTAACGCAAAGAGCAATTGACCTTCGTGATAGAGATGCATGGAATTTCACAGTGCACCGATTAACCGAATCAGTCAGTTTGTTTTGTATTGAGCGATCGACTCTGGTCGATTAGACTGATTATGCCTAATCGAACTGGTGGTTCGATCCCGGACTACGTGCACGCTGGGCATTCTAAAGTTCCAATGTCATCGTAGGGTGTTATCATCCATCATCCTTGTCAGCTGTAAGAATCGCGTAATTGTCGTGTGGTGCCGCAGTTTCGTTATGAGAATGTCATCGTGGGGTGTTATCTCCATCATCCTTGTCAGCTGTAAGAATCGCGTAATTGTCGTGTGGTGCCGCAGTTTCGTTATGAGAGGAAACGATGCACACACACAAGCCACAAATAAACGAGTGTCAAGCTGGTATTAAGGAAGCATAGTTTATGACCTTGTATCATTAATTATTTAGAATCGTTATTGTTCAAACTAGTGCTCCACAATATGGAGGAAATATATGTGAGTGCGCACTCTACATGTCGTGTAACCACTCAAGACTAATTCAAAATCGTCCAACGTGTTTCAATCGTCTGTGGCACTACCTGACTGGGAAGTCCTGACAGGCGGGCCAATCGATAGACATAACCAAGATATGTTACTGGGTCGTGGTTCAACCCGTCGGACCTACCACTCACATCACTCAAGCGTTAACAGAATCGCTTTACGGACGTAAAAATTCAAATTTGTCCAGCGTACTTTGGTGGAGTAGTGGTAATACGCTCGCCTTGCATATCAGATGTACGGAGTTGAAATCTGAGCACTGCCAAGGAAATACACTGCTGGTGAGCTCTAACAAGAGTGAAACTCGAGTCCAGTGCTAATCCACTTTGGTGTGGACTTAACAGAATGATTGCGGCAGAACATGAGGAAGACTGCGCAAATGAGTGTGCTGTGAGCCTGCATTTTACAAATTAGAAACCCTCTATTTTAGGGTATAATTAAGCGTGGGAACACAAAATGACTCTATATAGGGTGCTGCAAATGAAGACAACAGCAGGCAAACACCAGAAGTCCAACGATAACGAAGTTTTTACGAGCAACTGAAGAAATTCACCAGTTGACGTCAGATACAATGTGCTTGGTGGAAAGAGTCACCTTTGATGACACGTTCAAGATTTTTTGGTGTAAAATTAGATTTAAATTGGATTTTATGGGTTTACAATGTTTTCGCATGCAAATAGCATATACCCCAAAGCGACAGAAACCGGCTATTCTCTGGTGGTTCCAAAATACCTGATTATTTCACACTTTTTTGAACAAATAAGTACTAACGGAGAAATATCCTGAAAATCCTTGCTGTCTATAAGCATTTATCTGTGAACAAGCCTGAACAATCTACAGAATCGATAGGTTCAATAGAAATGCGCATAAGAAGTGATCAACGGAAGTTATGTCTCACCCGTCTCTGTAACGTCACCTTCGTTTTTCCGGTCACCCTTGTCCATGTTCAGTTTCACTGTTAATTTGTCCAGTGGAGCCGTTGAGTAGAAGAATATCGATCTTGTTTAGTTCGTCCGGTTTTCAATCCAAATAGGGATTATTTGATGCACCGTGACCTTGAAGCCACCCAATTAGATCCATGCACTCTGGCTGCTTCAAAGAACCATAGCTTTTAGGAGTCGAACATAATTCGAAGTAGTAGGAGAATGAAAAGAAAAGCACATTTTGACCCTCCCCCCCACACACAATTAACCCTCACGAATTTCGACGGTGGCAGTCGCGCGTTCACAATGTGAGTTCGTATTTTCTCCCTTCATACTATAGCCGCGATCGATGAAATATGCTTTTGAGGTAGGTGGGGAGCCGACGTCATCAGGTGCAAGGCACACATACAAACACACGACATTACGAAACAGTACACAGAAAAGCCAAAGGCCCCTGTTGAAGACCAATAACTATTGACGAGTGAGTGATGTGCATCAGTGCGTCGGTAAAGATTTGTCACATTCTTGTTGTTGCCACTGACTTCACACTTAGGTTGTCTGTCACTTGGAAGAGTTTAATCTTAATGGATAAGACCCATAAGAGACACAAATGGCGACCAGCGCACCACAGGCTAATGCACATCTAATGATAAACTCGTGAGTGCAATACCAATAAGGGCTTTAGTTCAACGTTACAGTTTGGACATAGCTGTGATCGGTTATGTGGACCGGGAACGGAGGATTAAAAGGGGCAGAGGGGGTCTTGAGTTTGAGTTTGAAATGTCATTGGGGAATAGTGTTGATTACCTCCGAAAAGAATGCTGCAAAGACATGTAGTTTAGTCCGCAATGATTTATAAAAATTATTGATACTAAAGGGTGTTCAATTTGAAGGTTCGCTTCTCCCGGTTGTACCAATAGCCAGTAATCAACACGTCCCAAACTCTGGTAATAATACGATCAAACACTGGATCTAGCTTACTACTATCATGACTCTCCGCCATGGGATCCCTCCACAAGGACCGCAATGATCATGACCGTAGTGAATGATGGGCCAAATCCGTCTGGAAGCTGCTCTAGAAACACCACATGAACCGCAACTAGATCAAGAAATTTGCGTCGAATCTTGCGCTCCTTTTCGATGTAAACATCACTACTCAGGTGAGAGCACTTCCTGTGCATGTTTATCTTGATGGCGCGACAGTAATAAATTTAATTACGGCCCATAGGATCCGCGTGCGAAAAATGACTAGCCACGAAAGTGTGAATTTTCAAATTTGCCTTATGAAGCAGACGTGACAAAATTTGTGACCTCGTTACGGGTAAAGTAAGTCATTAATGGTTGAGCCAGCTAATATTAGAGCTATGCCAAACTAGGGGGTGGTAGACATTTATGTGCCTCCAATTCCTGAGTTATAGGGTCCGGTTACCCATGCCTGTACTCGCCCTGAGTCCCTTAGCGGAAAGCTAACACGTTGCAAAGCCCAGCTGCTACCTTGTCTACTCTCCTCTGATTGGTTCTCTTGAGTAAGCCCTCACGCCTCTCCCACGCTTGCTTGCCAACTGTATGGGCTCGATCACTAGCGTCCTTGCATTATCATTGGTCGATATTCCCAGCGCCTTTCGTTCAGTGTGCACAGCTTTCCAGGCGTATCCGGTGAGAGACCTTGTTTTTCGATTAGATTAGTATACAACAGCCTCGTGGATTTCGCCGATCGGTCCCCAACAAACGACAGTCTGAAAAGGTGAGCGTGCCAACGACCGTTGCAAAGTCCGTCAGTACTTTGGCTGCTTCGCCAACTGGAAAAAAATCCACGCCCTACGGACTTTTCCCCTACTGGATTGACCACTGGAAACGACTTTTCAAAACAAACTTCTGATTTTCACGAGGAGCTAAATTTCCCACTTCGTACGGCGTTTTGCTTTTACACGCCAGAAACAAAGCAAATGAGAGGGCGTCTGTATTCTAAAATGTTCAGTGCATATAGAGGAAGACTGAATGGAATGGGCCGAATCGAAACTAGGAACTACTTAACTGACACCTCGTTTATCAGCCTGTTACAATCGTCTATAACATAGTGACTCCACCTCACATGTTGGACAACGAAAGGGAGGCCTGATCAACAGGACTTCGGAGCCAGTGTTCAGATTTAACTGCTGGAACAGTAGCTGCGTATGAACCCAATAATTAAGATAACGAGTAGGCTCAACGTCGGTCTTCATTCACTCTTATTTAGAAAGTCTTACACCTGTCCCAAAACGAGCACTTCATTTGATCCACATCAAGACGGAGGCTCTTCAAATTTGGTTCCACCCTTTTTGGAACTCAGTGTTGATGCTTACCCTCAGGTCTCTTCTCTGAGGTTCAATTTGAGTGCATTGGTTAGGACGTATTTGCGTCTGAACAGGTGAACAGTTCCCTACTCGAATGGATTCTTTGATAGGAACCACCGCCTCAAAAGAGGTTTAGTTACCATCTGGCTGTGTAGATCATCGACTCCCTTATAAGGAACTCCCTGTGACTGGAAACAAACTGTTCGCCGGAAAGCGACCGGCACCAAAATTCCAGGTCAGCGCGAAAACGCTGGATTGAATCCGCGAGTCCAAGAATCTTGGAGTTCCAAAACATCGAAGAGCTTCTTTATAGACGAGCACATTTTTCCCGTTATGTTATTTTCAAAGAGTTCATCCGTGAGCATTAATCTCAACAAAGTTTGAGTGATACCTATTTTGAGGGGAATATTAACTTTTCCAGAGTTTTTAGTGTGCACACATGAATGTGACCATGCGATCACTGGGTGGTCTACTAAAGTAGGGTTTCAGAGAACGCAAGTTGGTTTTACCAGACATCTGACTGGCGTTTTGGGAGGGGCAGACTGTTGATGAAGGGCGGTATCTAAACAGAATAAAGGATGATAAGTAACCACTGATGCCGCAATTGCATTGCGTGGTTTTTCATATCCACAAATTAACTAGTTACTCATGTTTCATTAAAAATCTCGCAGTTTAGGAAAGATGTAACTGCTCCAAATTTACTTCTCATTTCTAATGAAGGGTCTATGCGCAATCAAGTTAATGAGTGTTTTTGAGAGCACCATGATCGATCGGTTGATTGAACTCTGGTCTAAAATAAAAGATATCTAGGGTGAGGGGTAAGACGTTCTTTAAAAAATTTCACATGTATGATTTCTGATATAAAGACTGCGATAAATAAATGGATACTCACATATGCCTTCCTGGCGTGGAGATGTTGTTCTTTGGAATGTGGAACTGCTGTCAGAAAACGAGAAACCGAGAGAACAACAGCTGCAATCAGCTGTAAAAACAAAGTGTTCAGGGTCGTACGAATAACAAAAGTGCTGTCTGGTTAGTGAACCGATCTGCGTACCGAGGCAGCAGTATGGTAGATTGAGGGAATCACTGTTAGACTCTTAGTATTAGTCCTCGTTGTATTTATGACAGTGCTCATATATTCGCATGCTTACACACATTTGCGCACTTGAAGGTTGTCGAACTTCACATCAGACCGATTTGCGATAAAGATATCACCGTGCTTGACAGCTTTTCTTGGCTGGATGGTGCAGCCGGTAACCAATCGCCAGTGACCCTTGTGATGCGTCGGCTTCAAGCTGTGTCATACCATCGTGAACAATCTTGTGCTGCAGGAAATTATGATGCTTGGCATGCACACGTTTGGTTCGATGAAGCAGGTGATCACTTATCGGCATGTCTGACGATCATAGCTCACTCTTCACTCGAAGAAGCATCTTTAATTTGTCCACTATTTCTTACCAGAGGTTGAAACCAGCGGAAATCACCGTCATCCCATCACCGTGCGGTTAAAGATTCATTTTACTAATCGACCCGATTCGCCAAATACTGGTATTGTCAGTGTTTTAAAAGCAACTACTCAGATTCAATTGGGTTTTATGGAAATCATTAATGATTAAAAGCCATAATATCTTCAAATGCTATTAGATATCCGTCCTCCATTGCAGATCATAATTGTGACATGCAGTTTCCGGTAGCTGAAAGAATCGTTTCAAGCTCTACTCAGTTTTTCACTTTCTTAAAATCCCTTTTGGCTTTGAAATTTTATCAGTCATCTGAACATACTCACAGAACTTGCAATACACAATTTTCATACACGCAAAATTTTCAATACTTCTCTGTACGAAAATACATCTTTAGTTTTTGTTTCACTAATTATTATGGTGGGGAGATTTGGTAACTTTCAAGTCAAATTTTGTCTTGTCATTGAAGCCAATCTACATTGAAAAACCGAGAAGCACTGTGCAGCTGTTTCATCCTTATTCGGAGTTACCAGCTGTGTGTATCTGACGAAACCGGATAGTCTGTAACGTTTGACCCTCGAGTCAGTGGTTGAACAAGTAACCATTCAACAACAGGCGACAAAATAGCAGTATAATTGGCTCTTTCTCTCTATAAGTGGCTCAAAGGAAAAACAACTTCTCAAGATGCGTGGAACTTGCTTCTGGAAAGTCGACACCCAAGGAACTATTCAATAGGTGACCAGATGATGTGGTTTCTTGGGCTGAAGGATGAGCAGTGCTACATGTTGTCCAAGCGAGAGCTAATCACACTGATGTTCAGGCACTTGTTGCTTAGTAGTTACATGTTCAATCACTAGCTGAAGGATCATGAGTTCTAAACTGAGTCTGGTGGGATGTGCATTGCTGACGATTCGCAGTAGGAATAAGACAGCTGTACGGTGCTTCTAGACTTTTCAAGATACACTGGCTTCACTTACGGGACGAACTCTCAGTTGAAAACAAAGACTGTCCAGTAGAGAAAATTTTTTTCCACTGCACAATTCGTTTCTGAAAGTCGAGCTACCGCTGGATACCCTTGGTCAAGCAGTGTCTGACAACCCTGTCCGCCAGTTTCTGATTGATGTGGCCAATCTGTTGAGCCGTCCCGTTCTGATACTTTCGGATGTTGACAGACACCGGCGATAATGAAGTACCTTTGTTGACATACCATCAGTGAATCGCACATGCTGCATGGAGGAATCACAACCTGCTGTGCTACTCAGTAATACACAAGTAAGCCAAACAACTGTCACATTTTCCTCAGTGAAGGTGTAGTCGGAGTACGCAAAGTCAATGTGCCCTCCAGATTCACACCCTCAATTATCGTGTTTGAGAACTTCAACCGGTCTTGCATGGTCAACCTGACTAAATCGCTTGACAAAGAGAGGTGAAAAGTGTGATTATTTTATGCCGAAGCTTGTGGGATGATGATGGCCATGTGGAGGGTCATTGGACGCAGCTGGTGGTTTACTGCCGATCCTATTCACTTCCTAAATGCCTCGAGTCGGGACAAAATGCCTGTATTTTTTGTCCTTCATATTCAGTCGGAAGCTTAACAGGAGTGTATAAATCCACGATCTTATTAGTAAGCTTGGCTACTCATGAATAGCAGTGTTGAAATCAGTATTTTTAGACTGCGATCCGTGGCTGCTGAAAGAACGGTGAAAATTTCGCCAAACCATGAGCTGCACCCTCCTCAAATCGCATATGACAGAACGAATAACCAAGTCACGCGGTTGGAGTACGAATAAAGCGAATATTTCTGAGAAAGCGACCAGAAACTGTTGGATTCTCCCGTCGTGGAGGTTTCAAGGGATTCTTCGCAGCATTGACATCATCGATTGTAGATTCAGTCATTAACAGCCTTTATCACCAGAGGGCTTTGTTTCTTATGCTCATATCGGTGACCTTATACGACTGATAGTGTGCTAGATTGCCAGTTGTTCTCTCCTTGCCCTCCTCCTTACCTACACAGGCGTATGGAGGGCTTTGCTGTTTCGATCCTAACACGTATGACAATGTGTGTGCAAGTTTGATATTTCGGTGGATTTGAACTAATGAGCTGCAAAAACATTTATTAGACTTATGCCCTTCCACTCCGACAATGAAAAACTAGCGGAGACTTGGCCCAAATCCACCTGTGCAAAACAGGAAAATTTATTGCAATAGGCTTCGAAAACCTATCCATCTGACGTGCACCGCGAAAAGCTGCTTTAATTTTAGATCTTGATATCCCAAATCCAGAACGATCCAAAAGCGAATGACACATTAATTTTCGGATTTCAGACATGACTGAAGCACCCACTTAAGAGAGAAGTGCCATGAAATCAGGACCCTCAGACTTGTCTTGTTTAGCGCACACATGCGCGCTAGTTGTAAGTAGACGGTATTCATTTCAGGATTGTTTGATACAACCACAAAGTGCCCGAAGTTAACAAGCTCGCCGCAACTTATACATCTAACTAGATACCTCCGTTGTTGGCCTTGTATTGGACCAGCTGTAATCGGAAGTTGCATCTAGGCTTTCTGTCAATAACATTCCATAAAAGGTTACTGAATAGGGAGACATGCGACGGTTTGGTTGCTACATACCTCATAAATCCACATAAGGACGAATAAACTTGACTTGCTGCGTCTGGGGTACATTTCGGTTGCTGGTAAGGTGATTATTGACCACAACAGTGTATAAGGGACCAACAGCCATCTGATCAACAACTAATGAGCTGCACAACCTCAATGAATGTCTGATCAGTCAACTATTTCAAGCAACCAGTTGAATAACTGTGGGATTTTTATCTACGTAACAACCGCCATGCATTAGCGACGTATTTCGGCTGATCAATGAACTGAACTGTCCATCAGCGCGACAAATTTGGACTCACGACAATCTCCACCTTTTGAGGCCCATCAGGATACCTTGACAACATTCAGTTCTATAGATGAATGTATATGTGTTCTACCCGAATGAAACAACCCGTCTCTGGCTTATAGGATCAGTTCATCAGTTTATGATAGTCGATTTTCTGAAGACGGTCATCACTCCACTACAAATAGGCTAGAGCATGAAAATGCACACACACACACAAACGTGACAAAGATGAACCCTTCACGCTATCCACTACAATAGACAACAGGAAAAAAACACACACACACACAAACGTGACAAAGATGAACCCTTCACGCTACAGAACTTCAACTGAGGTTTGCGAAGCCAGAAACAAGCCGAATGACTCAAACTTACGTTGATCGGGATCCAAAATGTTGAGTTTGATATGAACTAGAGGTGTTTGAAAGGAACTGATTTTGTCCAGAGAGAGGTGATCTTGTTTGAGGTATATGTGTTGGTGAGACAGGTGTCCGCACTTCACGATTATATTCTTGCCTATGCCGCTCCTCAACGAGACTGATAGCTCGCCGCAACTGAGCCAACTCTTGTCGAGCAGAATTTAGTTCAGCTTCTAACCGCTGTTCACGAGAACTTATATCCCGGCCGTTGGAGATCGAAGCCTATGGAGTAGAAGAAGAGAGTAAGTGAATGTCGTGACCGAATTCAAACAATTGAAGTCAATTGCTATCTGAGTGAAATGAGTAGTGACAGTAGGATTCCTCCGCCAAAACTCACTGTCTATGGTTATCTGCCGTTGTGAACCTCACAAAATTATTGTTACAACATCCGATTGCTGAATTCGGGCTTATTTGTGGCGGCAGTGCGACAAAAAGTTGAGTAATGAAAGTCACTTCTGCGGTAACAAACGTTTAAATACACGAGGGAGTCGTTTACGGCGTCCACCCATTTGTAGTAACCGGTTTTCATTGTTCAAGTTAGCTGTCACTGAATAGAAGCATTATTACCATTATCACGTGATGTGGTTTCCCTGGCTCGAGATTGAGTGACGCTATGTCTCGCACCACTGATAATTCACTCATGGCCCAACGGTGGTGTTCAAACGACTGTTTGGGAGGCGGCGGAATCGAAACTCCCTGGCAGAGCTTTGTGAGATGCGCGCATTTGAAGATTCCCTTTGATGATGAATCTACTGCACAGTGGTTCTCGGCTTCATAGCACAGATTGACCTCATTTACAGGACAAAATTTCACCCAAAAAATACCTCCAGATCAGTTAGGGTTTAGGCGCTTTGCTATTAAAACAAGGGGTTGCTTAACACCAGATTGACTCGTTCTGAAGGTCACCTGACGGACCGCACTGAAAGCTAAGAGATTATGCACCTAAATATTGGTGTGGACCAAATAGTTATTATACTCCGGGCTTTCGAACATTAATGCACATTTCAATAGCTTATCACAACATCTTCCTTCTCTGACCCTGTTGGTCGTGGATCACTGCTGGCAATTCTGCTAATCGATGGCACACCCGAAAAGCTCACTTAATGCCTATGCCACCCTTTCACCTCGTAGTCGAAGAATCGCCTGAGTAGTCATTAAAAGGATATTCGGACGTCGAGCTAATTCCCTGAACCTGATTAAGCGGAGCTAAAATACGATTATACCGTCATCTCAATGGGTAGCAAGTTGAAAGAATCCTAAAGTACACTAGATAATCTAGCTCGCTACGTGGCATTCGAAGGACCAAAAGTTAGCACTACGCCGGCTTATTGCCTAACCTTTGTAAACTTATCCACGTGACCCGCCAACATCGTCGAAGAGGTGGAACAGAAAATTGCATATACCTACCTGAACCCAACCATCTTACCCAGCAGATAATCGAAAGACGTTTAACCATCCAACGCTAAAAACGTAAAAAGCTCCGAGTCTTTGACGGGGTAATCGCACAGTTCAACTTTCTGCCTGCGAAGTATGGTCCCAATCCGTAAAGTCCAGGTGTTGTAGCTACTGGTACCTTTGTTATATGGAGAAACGGTACAGCAGTGAGACAAGGGGGTATCGGTCACTAGCCGGTTCATATCATTAGCGAACATAATATATCAATTTTTCTGAAGGAACGCTACTCATACGGTTGCTCAAAATTCTTCAACAGCAACGGTATGAGTAGTGCAATACGTCGATACATATGTCGCGATATCTCCAATATCGTAGCAACTGGAGCATGAGGTGGCCTGGTGCAGCACATTCAGTTGCCTGGATACATCACAAACGAATGATTTAGTTTGGTTCCAGGTGAGTCTTTCACACAACCAAATTTGTTTGCAAATGAATGTATTTCACTAGCTCGCCATTAGTTTTCCTTCTTGGGATACACCGCGTGGGCGCAGTTCCTAGTTAGTGCTCGTTCAAGAAAATATACTACGATATATCGAGTGCTGTACCAACTGAAACACAAGGCAGGCTTTATGTTGTGCGTCCAGTTGAAGAGCATCATAAATGAGAGATTTAGTTCAGTCCTCGATAGAACCAAATTCGTGTGCTACTGAGTGTAATTCACTGATAATATGCCCACCTCAGGGTTTCTAACGGCGAGGAATATGATAGGTTCAGCATCCAGTTAAAGCTCTCAGGCAAACCTGGATTCTTATGAGACACTAAAATTAGTATTGTTGCTTCTGAATATGATTGGAAGTGTGGCGCGGTGTAACCAAATACGCTGTGGAGAAACCTGATCTCTATGTGGTCTACAGATTCCGTCACTGAAAACCACACTGACTCGCTATTTGTGTAAGCTGCCTCATGTGGGCACGGTCTTTCTAAGGCATTTCTGAAGTGGGACCATTCTAACTTAGAAAACTGTCGCTTAAGAGTAAAGGTTGATCAGGTCATGGAGAGGTGCCAGATGCTAAAACGTTTTGGTTTATTTGTTTTAGTTAGTCACCAGACTAAATTACATCTATTTCATCTTATCTGATCAGAAAAAAATCAGCCAAGTTCACTCCTCGCGATTTTTATTCTTTTTCACTTCACTTTCCGAAAATTTCGTCAATTTCCAGAAAATACTAACTCAAATGGATAATCCGTGAACTACCACCTAAGCATGGTCAGAAAAGCGAGGCTGTCCAGTGCATTACACGTGCGACAATTTCATCTTGTATCTGAGCTACTCATGAGTAATCGATTTGTGGTTGACAAGTGTTAGGCGCCCGGCCGAGGAACTGCGACGATGAGTGCAAAAATTTATTGTCAGTTCGATGGTCTTTATCAACTAATGCGGCTGTCGTCCTGAGCTACAAAGCTAGGGCTTGGCTAGTTCCAAATAATCAGTTGGTAGGTTCAGTCGGCAACACATGCAAATTCCACAGTAGAGTCCGGCTCAAACCTTGAAAATTTATGCAAATGTACTTGAAAGAAGTTAACTTTGTCGCTCATTCTCAGCACTCACAACCTTGCAAAACAAAAGTGGGCAAAAAAAGCTTGCACAGTCATATCAAACAGCTGAAAAATTTGCATATTGTGGTTTTATACCCGGTGTTCGTATTCAAAACTGCCTACCGTCTTCATTGATTCGTCAAATTCTGCTTGCACAAGGATGCCTGATGGAGAAGCAACTAGCAACAAACGGGTGCTAGCCGGGTAAAAGGCCGACAACTGCCGGCTTCCTAATCGTTCACCATAAAATGTAACTAGTAGTAATTAGTCTAGTGTAATTAGTCTCCTGAATAAAAGAAGCTGATCTGTTGTTTAGGAGGTATGTTGTTTGCCCAAGTTGTTTAGACGACCGTTTCTCTGTTTGCCGAGTTTGGTTTGTGGAAAATGGACATTCGAATAACATAATTAGAAGCCGACCATGCTTGCAATGATTTCTACCTCGTAAATAGTCGTTCGCACAACGGTATAGAAAACGTTGATTGCACACTACGACACTGGAAAGAGGACCACTTGAAACAACAATCAAAACGGTTACTGATCGTCCTTGGAGCTTATCAGGGGTGAACTCGTTCGCCTGTTCAAGCTTGGCAAATTAGATGCACCCAGTATGCGCTGGTCAGTTGGTAGTAACAATCTCATCAGCACGGCTAGGGATACTGACTACTGATGCGCTCTACTATGAGCGTAAATTGCGACTAGCACTTTCGCTCATTGGTAGTAATTTTGTTAGGCAGCAGGGGGAGACTACTCAAACGACAATGATCTGAGTGCCAATTTTAGAAATTTCACTGACCTCGTAAAAAGTGACGAAAAATCATACGGATGAAAGTCCGCATCAGAAGTCGGCTGAGGATGTCTGTCACACCACAGACTACAGAGGAAATCACTGATGGACTGATCACACTTAAAAGTAATATCGTGGAAATTTTACGCGTGCAAAACCAGAACGAGATAATAAATTAACACCGTTCTTTACTTTCAAGGCTTCCTACTAGCAGCCTTCAAAATACGCTGAAACAAATGTGTACTCACTCACAACACAAGCATTTGTTTACTTACATCTGTTGCTCCACATTCTGGATCAATCGTCAAGTGCACCTGAGACAACTGTCTTGGTCCCATTGGAGGACGTTGTTTGAGTACTGTTGTATAGGTGGTATGGTGCCTGGGTGTAGGTGCAGGAGACATGCTCGAACGTAACACAGGATAGTGAGCGGGTCTAGCTAACCCATCTAGGCGTCTTTCCGTATGGTAGACCGAACGCTTTTGATAATTATAACCAGTCGGACTAGTGAGATTCGGGGTTTGCGGGTCGTGGCTCCCGTACAGACCGATGGTTGATGAAGATCGTGTGGTGTTGTAACGACTGTGCGTGTGAACACTACTGTTCTGTCGGTATGAGGAGGTGTGAGATCCATGTGTTGCGACGTTGTAGGGTTTCGGTGAATAGGGAGCACTTGGCGGGGGAAGACCAGAGGACATTTGTAGACTGGTCAGTCTGAGTTCTTCTAGCAAGCGATCTAGTTCCTGTGTCCCAGCCATAAAGTTAAGACGACGTGCGGCCTCAAGCAGGTCCTCAGTTGTGGGACGAACGGGGACGGAAGCTGGAATTAGGAGAGAATAAATGGACTGAATGGTTGAATAGTTGGAGAAGGGATATTGTGATGGACCATTTTATGGCTTCAATACAACTAATTTCGGTGGCGATTTCTCAACATACACGTCAAACCCATTTTTTTCAATCGGTAATCAAAAAAGGAGTATTTGTTTTACAAATGTTAAAATTACGCAATTCATTCGAGACACTATTACCCTACTGTCATTAAGCTTGACCCTCCCTCTGGAAAGTTATGATTCCCCTGAACATTCTTCCCTAATAGGAGGATATCTCAAACAGACAACCAGCATTCACTTTCTTGAAGGGATTACCAGATATTCGCCAAAACCCCTACGTGAAGCTCACTTCACCAAGGCTATTCTATCTTGGGGGTCTTCTGTCTTCCATAGGAGAGCAGTATTCCGGTATTATTACTCGTTCTGTGTGGTTCTTACCACACAGTAGACTATCCCAATGCGCACACAAATTGCGTCAGTCATTTTTCGGCGTGGTCTGCACGGCGATGGTCACCTTGAATCAGCTTATATCTTAGACTTAGCAGTTTATGATTCCTGGGCCTTTGAAGCGGGTCATTAGCAGACATGAACAAAATACGAGACGACAAACACGATGTAATGCATAATAAGTGAATTTGGGGTGGTAGTGATGGCAAATAGATGGGCGGGTGACATCAACTAGAGGGTTTCAGTGGCAAGCTGCTTAAGGTTCTCGTAGATCTAGACAACAGTACACCCAGAGATAACAACCACGGCTCCCTTCTCTTTGCTTTTTTTGTAGAAGCGCATGATTTTTGTTACAGCATCCCGAAAAACATTAGAAAACGATCAAATTCGGAAGAGATGGCTGGTATGCCCACACGAATTTGCACAGAATTTCATTGGGTAAATTCTCTGGAGAAATCATCTGGTAGTTGGTAAGACACTTACTAACTGCCATGCAAAATTTCACAATTCTGCTCGTCGCACGGAGTACTAAGGATAGTGATTCGTTCCCAGACATTTGCAGAATTCATTCAGTTGATTACTTGTTCTTGTGATGGATAGATCTGTCTTGAGCCTTAGTTATACACAACCGTTGGATTACGACTTATAGGTTACTTCTTCGGAAAGTTTGCAGTTGGTAAGGCGATTTCAAATTTTCATGTTTGTGTCACCTCACATCCGCTCCGTCGTAACTGTATTTCCTGCGAATATTTGGAGGTGTTCAAACATGTATTTTTCCAGTCGATAGGTTGGACACCACACCTTTCCTACCGGTGACTAATCGGCAGTCATACACGTTATAGAGATACTTATATCCCAAGCACACAGCTCGCGTCGCATTATCTGTCATAGTTTTAACCTGATAAGTGCATGGCTGTTATCGAGAGGTAGTTTTTGCGCACATATTACCCCATGGAGAAAAAAGCATAACAAAAGATTACACAACTATTTTCGACCGGTTAAAACACAATTCTCTACCGTCAGAACGTACGCCTGTTTGATTATGCATACCATATCACCGGCGGACACAGTGCAGTTTAGTCGATAAGGAATTGAAGACTGTCCTTTTGAGAAGAAAATGATTAAGAATATCTCATCGGGCACAGTCATACGAATTTTGATCCAACATAAACTCCAACATTATCACCGAAAGATAAGCATTCTTCCGTTATCTGAATTCTTGTCTTTCATCCTGATCCGGAACTTTAATCCACAAGTCAAACATGTCAGCATTCTGTCTCACAAACATACCTTAGAACTGACAGATGTACAGACAACTTGCAATCGCGAAAATATCTGGAAATTTCAGCTGACTGACATTCTTCGTTGCACTTTTAAATAATTTCGACGCGAAATTCCGTCAGTCTGATTCGGGACAACGTTCTTCATCCGCTTGCATGCCCTGGTTTTCCCAAATCATATGCTCTCGACCAACTGGAACCCACATAATATGCCAATGTTGTTGGACCACAAAGCGGAAATCTGTAAGTATACTCTTAAAAACACACAGGTCCCTTCCTCAAAAAGTCTAACTGATGTAAAACCAGACGTAGTTGGGGAGCTCCAAACGCCAGACAACTTCTAGCGAGTTTCGATGAGTCTGCCCATGAATCAACTAACGTATTGCGCATTCATGTCCCAATCGTCAAACTCCAGGCGCTAGATTTATAAAAACTAGTCGGATTTTGTAGTTTAAAATTTTTGGGGGTGTTTCACGGTGACTTGGTAAGTATTTCAAGCGAGATATATTTTAAACAACTTACGAGGAACAGGGACAGCAAACATGGTCATTAAGAAGACCATGATTTCCTGTCCAGCATGCATTGGAGAACTGTGTATAACGTATTACAGAATTTTACATATTTCTGTGAAATCACCCTACTTTGACATCTGGGTAACAGTTAACTGGAAACTGAAAAACCGACTCTTGTTCATTCTATTGAGGATATTAAGTGAAACTGTCATGAAATCTAGAAATCCTCAGCTAAAGAATGCAACAGGGACGAAATAAGGTATCTGACCTTTACTGGGAATAGCCTCTGTTCCCGTTGAGCTTAGCTTCGGCCTCAGCTGGGAAAGAGAGTTAGTGTGAAGGGCTTAGGGAAGGGTATTCCTAAAGGGTATTCATAAAAAATAATAGAAGTTAAAAGATTTCGCAATGCTCAACTGTCTTCGGGGCAACGTCTATGAAACGACTTAAACTGGATGGAAATATCCTTGACCATTTTGGCTTTAACGAGAGAGGCAATTGAATCCCAGGTTAATCTCTCTTTTATGATGTTATTTTTCGACTGAATGTGCAACACCACGGTCGCTTCATGTCTCAGTTGGCATCATACTCAAGATATCGCAGTGTGCTTTCTCATAAGAAATTTTCACAAACTACCTACACAGCGGATGATGAGGTCGACTTTGACGATTACGCCAAAACACTGGGATGAAAATAGAGATGCGTGCCAGAAATAGAGGAGCAGTCATCTGTTGTTTGCTATTCACAGATTTGCCCCCAAAATCAGTTCATCCTGGCCGACAGCATTAAACAACAGTGAATCAACAATGTGGAATTTGTATACAACTAATCGCAACTACTGTTCATTTCGTCGGAAGGGCTCGTTCCATCGTAATATTTGGTTAGTCTTAAAATACCTCTGAAACTGTGGCACAGATAAGCTCGGCATCCATACGAAGCATGAAGGGTAGGACAAATAATGGCGAGCACTGTCTCGATCACCCTGAACGAGTTTTTTTATTATAAACAGGTAAACTGATTTCCTGAGCTTGAGATGGCTCAAAGGTTTAAGTGCGAAGAACCCGAAAGTCCGTGGTTCGAACCGAATAACTGTTCCTCAAGTGATTCTCTCTAGGCTTTAGTGTTCTGACGGCATCTCGGTCCTTGTGCTTCAATCGGGTGGAATGACAAATAAGCACTCGAAGTGTGATAAATTTGATCATAATCGGTATACTGATTTTATAGCAAAGTCTTATAAAGCAAAGATGAAGACGTGAAACGACTCGAAGTTGGCTAGCAGAAAAATTGCTCATGCAGTGCAATGCGACTCGAGTAAATGTAACCAAAAGGCGTCCTGACCCAGAATATTTACCCAATTGGTCGTGCTGGAGAGCATGCAGTCAGCAAATGTTAAACGTTTGGAAGGGAACCTGGTACGCCAGCTGATATCATGACCGCTTTGGAGAAAAAACGATGTGACGACCAGTGCGTCAACCAATTTGCGTGTTATCATTTGACTGGAGAAGGGTTGTTACGATCACCCATTTAAATGTCCGAGCTGGGCACCGTAACACGACTTCACAAAAAGGATCCCTAAACACAGTTTACCTTGATTGACCTCTTGAAGTAAAAAGCCTATTTCGCACTCAGGTGCATTGCGTTCAGTCGATTATAATCATATAATTATAATTATAATTATTATAATTTATATATATATATATATATATATATATATATATATATATATATATATATATATATATATATATATATATATATATATATATATATATATATATATATATCGCTAGTTAAGAACCAATTGCGTTTAAGAACAAACCGAAACGGGCAGGTATAAACAGGAGACCAGAATAACTTAGGATAAATGAGACTGTTAGTGTTTCACTGGACTAGACACAGCGCCTGCACCTAACTTCGGTGGCTGAGTAAGATATAATCTTTGACTGAAGATGAAAAGGAATTATGTCTAGTACATGTGGGGATGGGTCCCGCAGAAGACTGCCATGTGACCCCTCTGTTTGAAATGGTCAACAGTTTAAAAGCATCCATTTTAAATTCTGTAGAATAGTCTTCACTTATAGATTTGTTCTGTAGCTTGTCTAAGAAAGGTAAAATCTTCGGCTTTTTCACGTTTGTAGATATAAATAAGTAGTATATAGCCCACGAGTTTTGCGTAGAGTTGGAACCAATATACTTCAGGAAATTTAGTTATTTACAGTTTTTTCACGGTGTGGAAACATTAAAAACTTGATCGGTTCTAGATTGCACGTATTCCGTTCTGCCTAACTTATCGAGAAGCCCTTATTCGAAAGGTCATATCGAACTTGTATCTAGAGGCAATATAAAACTCCCGCTGGTTTTGAACGGAGAGCTGTCATCTGTATGAGCACTCACTCGATATAAAAGGCAACAATTACTGTTACTCTCACCTTGGAGTTGGAATTCCCCTTTCATTCTTTTACTAGCTCGTGTGCGCTGTGGAGTTGGATTAATTACGGGGGAGATCCAATCTGATCCTTGAGCGGACCGACGTGCATTCGTTAAATTGTTGAAAAATGACGATGGGCTAACTCTGTGTATTCGCTTTGTTTTTCTCTTGGGTTCAGTCATATTATTCCTTAAAGTATAAAGGGGAGTGATTGAAGCCACATGCTCCGTAGTCCCACCTAAAACCCCACAGTCTTACGGCAACTGTTGGATTGGTCCTCAAAACATCCTGCAGAATGGTACAGTATCCTTCATCTCAAACACTGC